ACATTTTAAATGAACATCTTATTACGCTGCAGCAAGCCACGCGACGATACACATTACTTTCGATTACTCTATCATCAGTACTGTGTCATTACTAGGCAATACCGTCAGATGTTTCTCTGAAACATTACTGCCACTAACCAGACGGTATCACTAAGATTCACTCTAAGTATATCACATCTCACTATTGTTAGAAGTAGCTACCACTCAGACGTACTAGATATACCATCCTTACTTTTGGGGAGAGTAAGTGATTACTATGTATCATTTCTGTTACTTTGCCCCAGTAATAAGCATGGGTATCTTGACTTTCATGGGCAGTGTATACCCAGAGAAAAGTAACTTCTATGACCACCATGGCTCCCCTAGCCTTAGGCTAGGTTAAGCTACGGTCGACGTCGGTCATCCCCTCCCCTAGCCTTAGGCTAGGTTACAACAACATTGATAAAAACAATGATTTACTGCCACAATAACCCTCCATTTTGATCGTTTATATTTTGGGAAAGGTATTAAATAAATCATTTAAAATCATTTAAATATTTGGAGGGGGGGGGGGAGGGGGGAGGGGGGTAAGGCCTTAAACGTGAAAGGTAAGATCCGGTAACTGATTTTACGGGTGCCTCCCCCTTGGTTATGGCATATGCACTGCATGACCCCGGAGTACAAGAGTTCTCAGTCTAGGACGACTTTAAGGTTTGTGGTGAGCGAGAACCTTCCTGGCTCGCATCCCAGAAAACGTTATTCGTAATTACGTATGATCAGACTAACTGCAAGTCATTGAGATGAGCGCACCTCCGGATAGCGCCAGTTGGCAGTAACGCCCAGAGCCCCGGGACTTTCCCTTTTCACACACCTGGTTCTGTACCTGCTCCTAGTTTGGTTGCTTCACGGATTCCACCCCAATTCTTTCGAATCAAAGTCTAGATAAGGATTTCTCGTCCACATGGTACCTGGGCGCATGAGCCCAAATCTTACAGCACCGTCGTTGTTGAATGAGTTCCATCAGTCAAGGACCGAGGATAAACTCTTATTTGACCGAGCATGAAGCCAACCTGCATACCTACTACCAGTCCTCTATCTCTCAACATGGAGCACCCGTGCAAACCTCCTTTCAGACCCTCGGAACTCACTCTCGCGCAGATACGCGGAAGCATACCTCCCCGTTTGTTTGAGCGACACGCTATGACTAGTCTCTACTACCTTGGCCGCGACCTTATACAAGCGGTACTCCTCGGAGCGGTTATGGTGATGATAGACAATTACCTGTGCAGTATCAGTCCTACGTACTTGGGACTCGCCGTTCGTGACTTTGCTTGGATTTTCTAGTACGTACATCATTGAGTGTCCACCCATAATCGCATCAAGGACTGAGATAGTGTGATTAGCTGGTGGTTTCAAGTATGTGTAAAGGCAAAGCCACCCTCCCTTAGTGCTGAATTATATATCAGGGACTTACGTTCACTGGGATTTGGGTCATCGGGCACGAGGTTCGTGTTTTACCCTTTTTGAGTCGATTAAAGTACGCTTTTTCATCTGCGATTACCTATCAGTGCGGTCACGGAGCTTTCTCAAGCTCATCGGCGTTGTCGAATACCATTGGATTCGTTCTCCATACACTCCTATGGACCCCTTACTTCAGCTGGAAGATTTCCCATCATCGTCATCATGCTAACCATGCTTCAATGGAGTACGACGAAGTGTAAGCCACCCGTTTTCCACCTTTCTTCTGTGGAGCAAAGTCTTATCGCAAAGATATAGGTATGTTCCCAAAACCCGAAGCGACCTCGGTATACCCATGGAATCGCAATCGAGTCCCATCAATTATTCCGAGTACTTCGAGGACACGCCCTTGTACACTTTAGTTATGCTTATCCGTCAGCAACCCCTTGCGTTTCCCGCGTATCTTCTCTGGAACGTGTCTGGTCAGAAGCAATATGCACGTTGGTATGTCTCAACATCATGTTGATGTCGATCTATCTCTGATGGATGTCTTCTAGGACGAACCATTTTAATCGTAAGGACGTAAATATATTGACTCCATTATTGTCTTTGACAGATATAATATTTGAAGCCAACGCTCCGATCTTTCGAGACCATCAGTTCTGGGATGTCGTGCTATCAAACCTAGGAATTGGATCAATGGCTCTTCTTACCTTGTCCATTTGCAATTATATCGGATTCGGTACCGTTGTTAAATATTATGGGATACCGTGGTTATTGGTGACTCACTGGTTCGTCATGATCACATATGTGCGTTGTTCTTTGACTTTCAGTTGTGCCATAGTAGCTGACGAAAATGTTGTTACAGCTTCATCACACAACCCCGTACATTCCGCATTATAGAAAGGAAGCATGGTCGTATGTCCGTGGCGCAGCGGCTACTGTTGATCGGAACTTTATTGGATGGCAAGGACGATGGTTCTTGCATGACGGTAACTTTCCTGTCGCCCCAGGCTTGAGATATTGATATGACCAGGTTTTCACAGTCGCACACTTCCATGTTATTCACCACTTTTTTCCGATGATGCCATGGTGTACGAGAAATTGTTTCCCCTCGTAGTATTCTATTAATATTTGATTTATTTCCAGACCATGGTCAAGAAGCAACAGAGTATTTGAAGAAGTGTCTGGGAGATTCGTATCTTTTCAGTGCTGAACCTGTGTTCCAGGAACTTTGGAGGAGCTACAACGAATGCCAATTTGTGGAAGACGAAGGTTTGTCTATGATTTAGAGCTTCTACTTCGGCGGAAATGCTGATGTATTTCTGTCATAGGAGCGATTGTATTTTACAAGAATAAGAAAGGAAAGGCCCATATCGGGAACGACATTCTCTCTTGATAAACTGAGGATCATTCCGAGGGTGTACTTGCTTCATTCCGTGAGCAAATCCCTGCTATGTATTCCTCTACGTTGATGCCGTGGTCCTTTTATATTGATTCGGACTGATGTGACTTCTATTTACTCGACGCGTATCAACAGTTTTCAGCACCTTGTACTTACACGGCAGGAGACTTCGTGGCGCAAATTGTTTTTGGCTCAGCCTGACAAAGGCCGCTGGAAACTGATGATATATAAATTTCCGAGTTTCAAGAGCTTCATCTGGATCAGTGCGGAAGAACCGACCGGTTTGGTGACTTGCTGGATATAGATTAATGCGTCTGATTGTGAGTTCAGAAACACCGGTTGCAGCATCATACTGTACGACGACTCGGAATAGATAGATGGTCTCAGAGCGTCGACGAGTGTCTACCTCCCCGGCATCATCGGAATGGGGGTAAATCTTCGGGAAGACGATAACAGATCGGGAATGGTGAAGTTCTAAACCAAACTTTGTGTAACCGGCCACTTGAAGGAGACCGTATATTTACATCTATTTCTAGATATAGAAGAGCGCCTTGCGACAGATGTTCGACAGTGTAGTCTGTTGCCGTACGCGCGTGCAATTGCAGTGCGATAGAGACGCTCCGAATGGAAGATTATATCTGGAAACAGCCTAAATCGCATGGTCCGAGGATCCTCATAGGCAGTCTCTTGATGAGATGAAGGAAAGCGAGGGAGATTGTAGAAGCGCCGATAAATCTCCCTTTCGAAACTTGGCCCATATTTTCCTCAGACGTATGAGCGGAGGTTGATCGCGCTATGAGTATTTTAGCTTATCGATTTGCTCTGAAGAGGCGCTCTTGACGGTCCTGAGCGATGAAGCCTCTCCGAGTCCGTGGCCCTTGACGTAAACCTCTGGAATAAAGCGATGTCTGTCCCCGGGCAGGTCAAATTATCATATAAAGCAGTCCAACGTCGGAAATTGGACCGCGATATTCACATGACAGATGGGGTAAAACGGGGCGGCGCTGAATGGAGTGCTCCAAATTCGTCCTTCTTCACACTTGCTTGACCGCTTGAAGTATCAGATCACACCATCTTCCAGAATATGGGGACCACATCACGGTGGGAAGCGAGAGAAATGCCGTATATTTGGTCATTGCGATTCTAGTGTGTCATTGACGCCGAAGTGTTCTACGATACTGATCATCAGACGTGTCTGTGATTGCGACCGCGCCTCATCTATTCGCGAAAGATACGTTCACAGAAGAAAATGGTACCATCCTAAACCAAGTACAACGTATAAGGCAGGCTCCTGACGTCTAGTATTCAATAAGGATTCTGTGATCCTCGACTCCCCGCCGCCGCCTCATTGATAGTCACTGCTGTCAGTGCTGGACATATACCATGATCTTCGAGTGCGTCGCAGCCGGTTTTGTAAGAATTTTTCATATCTGTACCGATAGCTCTTCTGATAGATGACTACCTAGTTATCATGGTGCTATCTACACCGCTACACTGTGCGAGGCGACCGCGCCGCCCTATTCTTCATTTCTTCGTTCCTCCTATTTCACGGCATTCAGAGCTATCGGGATGTTCAATCTTCAAGTTCTTTACTGTTCTCTCTTCGCTGCGGTTTCATATATCTCTTTTCCCTCACTAGTGCTACTCTGGCATACCGTCTGTCTCCTTGGCATCCCCTCAGCGCTTACCCTGGGCCTATTCCATGGCGCACGACTGGTCTGGTTCTGACCATTGTGTCCCTTCGAGGAAAGCGTCACTTGGATATAGATTCTCTACATCGCCGATACGGGGTATTCGTCCGAATTGGCAAGTCACCTCATGATTGTAACGAACTTACCGATGCTTATTGGTGAGGCTGGGATTCAGGCCCCAATGCGCTTTCTATTAACTCGTTTGCAGCCAACAATGTCATCTATGCTTCCACGCATCATCATATGAACAAAAGTGATTCCTATCTCCGACCAGGGCATGTTGCCGGCGTGTCTCTATTCTTTAAACAGGACAGAAAGGATCACTCCAGGCGGAAACGGATATGGACTGAGGCCTTTACAAGCACCGCGTACGCTCATCGATCCACCTAGTTTATATGCACTAATCGCATATATAATCACTTCTAGTATTCACGAGTTCCTTGGACCATTGGAACAAAGGAGTCTTCAATTGACGCAATGCATTCTGAAACATAGGGACAAGGATGGCGCGACAAATATGATACAATGTATTGATGACTGGTCGTACGATTTTATGGTAAGATACTATCAATATCATGCATTCCTCAATACCAATCTCCATTTAGGGAGATATGGTCTTTGGTGGATCAAATGACCTCGTAAGTAGCTACGTTTTTCTCAACATTCCGCTCTCAACGATACTTAGATCTCTGTAGGAGCTCATGAGGGATGGCGACGTTGATGACCTGGTCCATTGTGGGAAACTAGTCACGGTTATAATAGACAGGTTTGTTTCTTATCTCTCTGAAACACTGCCCGCACGATCTAATTCTCGTCAACAATACAGCATTGGACAGGCGCCGTGGTTAATGGACATCCTTTGGCATATCCCGGCAGGCCAGTCCATGCACAAACTACGACATGTGGCGGCTCAAATGATGCGCCGGCGCGTAAATGCAAAAGGCAGTGTGGCAATGCGTGACATTGCATCGTATCTGGTATGCTACATATTGCTGATAATTTTCGTGCATACGGGTGACATTCCATGACCCACCGTAAGATCGAAGGAGACCCTCACTCGGGAGCTAAGATTTCGATGCCTGACCTCGAGTTGGATGCCTTAATTGCTATACAAGCAGGTGTGTAATATGTCGTCAAATGAACTCATGAGATGAAGCTCAACTTGAGCCAGGATCCGATAACACTGCTGCCATACTCATACTCTGTCTATATTACCTGCTGTCGGAACACCAGAGGTATATATCCGTGCAAAGCATACTGGACCAATCATTTCCTCGTGGGCCAGCGACAATTACCTTGGACGACGATGTCCTCTCAAGTATTCCAATTCTCGATGCAATTACTCTTGAAACCCTCCGACTTGGAACTCCATTTTTCCTTCCCCGTGTCGTCCCTGAAGAGGGTGTTGAAATAGAGGGTAATTTTATTCCTGGCGGGACGATTGTCGCTGTTGCGGCCTATTCACAACAAATCTCCGAGGCGAACTTCCATCCAAACCCTCAGGTAAGCATGTCTGCTAGTGTCATACTTCCAGTGATGAAACATTACATCAACGTCCGGTGTTAAGGACTTCATACCTGAACGGTGGCTTCAAAGTAATCACGGCGAAAGCACAGGAATCAGACGCTCAGCACTGGGATCGTTTTCATTCGGTGAGGTTACCTCCAATCTATCGTCTCGGACGATGCAGGTTATACTCATGTTTATGTAGGACCTTATGCTTGTGTTGCAAAACGGTTTGCAATGCAAGAAGTCAGGCATGTCCTAGCGCGACTAATCTTAACTTTCGACATGGAGTTTGTGCCTGATTTCGACCCGGAGAGTTTCATCAATGGATTCAGAAACATGAGGACATCAATTTTCAACACTCCATTGCGTATCGTGGCTGTTCCACGGAATCACTAGCCTAGTATTTTTGTAAAGACTAGTAATTGTCGTAACTGCTAATTACAGATATACTGCGTATATGTGGTGATTACTGTCCCATCGGGTCTCATCATGAAGAAACAGTCATCGTGCTACTTAGAGCTTCAGAAAACGAATAGTCTGACCTCGTTCAAATTGACACGAATAGTGTTAAATGTCATTAATCAGATGAGATCGCTCCTCATTGGTAATGCACATGCTTCAACAGTAGACACACGGTGTCCTCATACCTGATATATTTTGCCTCTGACTTAGTCAATACAATAAATCTAAGTCTCTGGGAAGCGCGTGCATAAGGACGCAAAGCGTCAAGCGTACATACTATAACATTGACCAAATCCCTCAAAGTGGTCAACCTCGACCTGCGAGTATCCGTACAATTGCCGTACCAGCACATTTATAAAATCAGTTCTTGTCTGTCTTCGCTACCCCAAATCCAACGTAATTTATTTCAAGCAGAAATGCAGCCTCAACAGCTTTCTTAAATAAGGCACTCTCAATCAACAAGCTCCATATAAATACGTCGAGGTCCCAGACACAGGATACACTATAGGTTCGGAGAAAACAGACACTTCGACCTGAACTCTTATCGGGGTCGTTCGAGCTACAGACTCAGACCCTTTCGCCATCATACACTGTGTCGCTTTGCTGGGAATAAATATTCACCGACTGAGATTGAGCTGTGACTAAAAGATCTAACTTACATTTTTGCTGCTTCGCCCGTCGACCCCGTCCGACGAGTGCCCAATTGACCTCTGCGGTACCATTTCGACGCGAACTGTGTTGGTCTGAGCCATATATCAGCCGTTGACAGTGGATGGAACGTATGTTGACTCACAGTTGGAGTCCGCGCATGGAAGCTGCTAAAGGATATTGCCCTTGTCGACTCCGCAGCGGTCGTGCGAAGTGTAGAACGTCCATTGAGCCTTGTAGTTAATTGGAAACGTCAAGTTGATGCTAAGCCTGTGATAGAAAGAACATACGACGCCAGTAGAGAGTTGGAGTACACTGAATGAAGATAAAATGTGAACAGGTGCAGAAATGCCTGACCGGGTCAGCGACTTGGACGCGCACCTTTGGTAGTGAAGGTTGTGAAGCAAAGAAAGATAACTGCGACAGTGATGAGATCAGTTCGAGAGCAAAAACCATCTATGTTATGCGACATACAGTTATTGGGCATCGCTAAGGACTGGAAATGTGATAATATTCAGTGCAGTTTCTAGATGGTTCTTGCAGAACACACGTACTGTGATAAGCGCGATCAAAGTGCATATACTACAAGTAAGTCCAAATGTGAGAACTGTGACCGCACTGGCTAGACGAATCTGACATTCACCATGTCAAGGCCCCCGTTTCTGTAGAATGTGGCAGTGAGATTGAGCGAAAGTAACGAATATCCAGATTCAATGATACAGACGAACCTATAGTCCACAAAATGAGCGTCTCCACCATTCTCTTGGACCTAAATGATGAAGAAGTGATCGTCAATATAGCGTCACTATGTTGAGAACAATCACCCAGCTCACTTGGTTATTTCTGGTCTACTCTTCCATAGATAGTAGCACAGGGCTGCTGTGTTCAACATATCGACACCCGCACCAGTGCTCAGACAAATCGTCAATATCCATCGATGATGCTCGAGGAATATAGGAAGTACGCCAATCTTGTGCGACACAATAGCTATTGCGAATGCAGAACCTAAACGGACGGCTGAGCCTGTCCACGAGATAATCGTTATAGGCCAATGTTGCGAGACGCAGCGGACCCGCCATGCGAAAAATGCCTACAGAGAGTATCATTAGGTATATTGAAAAGGATTGTCATGATTCACGAACTTGAACAAAGCCTATCGCCAAGCTCGCCACAGGCTGTGAGTATGCCAGAGTCCACTGAGCAAGCTCGATATTCACAAGGTTCCCGAAATTGGTGACCACGGTCGAGTAGATGTAAGCGCAGACCAGAGCCGTATGGAATCCTTCCACAATTCTGAAGAGTACATGGTTGCGCGTTAGGAATGCAAGTAAGTGATCTGAGTGGAAAATTTTATGTACATGACCGCAACAACCTTGACACGCTATGTTAGGGCGTTTTAAAACCTAGACTGGGTACGCACTCACCACTATTTTCACCGTAAGCCTATCGGAAACGATATGCAGCTGTTGATAGTAAGTGTAGGCTTGAGAAAGCACGATTCCATACAATAGAAGGGAGAGCATGACGCCAATTAGGATCGAGCCGAGGGAAGAGTCGAGGAGGGCCATACTAGCGAAGTGTGTAACTGGCGCACATGAAGAATCCGATTCCCCTTTTGAACCACGGTAAAACGGTGCTCGAGTTGCAGAGGCTGTAGACTATCAGGTCATATTCGAGTATAGTGCGCTTCGTGATCATGACAGACCGAAGTGCATCGCAAGTGGGGACAGAGGAGGGGGACAGTGGAGTTCTTCTCGAAACGCCAAACGTGCGACTACTTCGTACCTAGACGGGAAAGAAAAAAAAAACACATCTAGGTCTCATTCCGAGGTCTGGGGCTTGGCCCGGAGCGACTGATGACACTCGTACGGCCTCTGATGACCCCAACGGACCAGGAAATCTTGCCTTGGATATTCATGATATTATTTTTGACTTGTACGTTAGGGTTTTCGAAGGGGCCACCCATACAACAGACTAGCGGTCGCAGACAACGAATGAACGAGTATAAGAGCTTCGTCTTCGTGTTCCTGTGCTCCCGGCCTCTGAAAATCTAGTGATTCGCCACGCAACTCTATAACTTACTCCCATTATTCTCCCATCATGATAGTAGTCCGTGTCCCAAAACACGTCATATCACCAAAACATCAGAAACATCATGTTTCAGCATGCATTGGAATCGCCGGTTCCTTCACGGGACCGCGCCGTGTATCTATTTTAGTGTGGGGGTATCATATCATTGAGAAACGGTGAGAGCAGTTGATAACGCTCAAACTGTAATGCTCTATGAGGTTCGCATGGGAATCAGAAGACGCCAAGACGGCAGTGTCCAGATACGAGGTTATTCTCGTGATAATCCTACGGCCTCCTTCCCATGGGATCCACCAAAAGGCAACCTTCTAGACCAACTTCACATATGGTGCTGCCGTTGCCCCGTCGCGAGCGTTTGATGAACCTGGTGCGGTCGAACCAAAATCAAGCACCATTACTGGCACGGAGCTGAGATACCGCATATAGGCGAGCGTCAAAAGGTCATTTGCCTGTAAGATTTCTCGATCTTACTCAAGTAAACGCTCTATCACCACCTTCACAGGCAGAAACCTTCTCTCCGCGAGGTGCCCGACGAAAAGATCGTGAACGAGATTCATGACCAAAGCGGAGACGAATTAATACCGATTTGACGGCCCCAATGTTTTATTTCCATCTCGAACAGTAGCTCCACTCATTGTATCTCCCACAGAAAACCCGACTTTCGGACGAGATATGTAGGGTGAACTGATCAGTGTTGTCGGCCGTACCGGATATGGATACAGCAGGCAAACGTAACCACCTTTCCAATTTTTACACTCGCACAGGTTGGCATGTCTCTGTATCTGCAAATACCAACAATTTCGATCTCCGTTGTTCTCGAGTGCACGAAATGCCTCGTCTATTGTATGTATGGCATCGCGGACTTGACTGCATAACTGGAAGAATGCATAAAATGGGACGCCTCACATAAACCAGCTGCGCAGAGTATTTGATCGATGACAGATCTCGAATCTTCGTGATCTTGTATGTCGCAAGACACCGCTCCCCGAGGAGGCTGTCATTTCAGAGATGTCGACGCTTCAGGACCAGTGAATGGAAAGGAAGGTTCAAGGGGCCGCAATGGGCAGAATGCACGAGGAAGGAAGTCTTGATATACATACCAGCGGGCGAAATGCCCAAACCAGAAAACCCCTGCTGCAATTTTACTCACGGGCCATCACGGGCCCGGGCCGACTCGAAGTCGACTCGTATTTGCCGAATGGAGTACACGGTTTTTGAACAAGTACCGGACTCACTTCGTGACTCGGAAGACTCAGCAGTCCTCCGTGGACCTCGTTCCTCCATGTTGACAAACTGGTGAGCAGCCAGGATATATTTTCTTTGACAGGGATCAACCGACTATCACAATTCTTGAATACGTGCTGCCTTGCGAGGCCCCCAAGGAGAGAGGTGACTTTTTCTCATTACTGCGGGTCAGAACCTTGCTTCCTGTGGCCGAAGTAGTCAGGGGTGAGAATGTTCTCATCCGCGGGAACTTAAAGGGCACTGGGGGAGACTTCTCTTCGCATCCCAGGTTATTCTGGAGTGCGTGAAATAACCATCACCTGCAGAGGCTGGCTGGCCAGAGGAAATTTGGCGGCTGTGCATTCTTCAGACTGAGTAAGAGAATGCTCTGAACTCGCTTCTGGTTCACAGTCCGGGAAGAAAGACTTCATACCGGGCATTCTTCTCTATTGTCATACACTCTTCTCTATTGTCCTATCACACGTAGTTCTGATTCTGATCCTGGCTCGGCTCCATTTTATTCACAGGAGCTGTATGCAGCGCTAGCCCTCATCGATCATCACGGCGTCAGAGAAGATGTTTAAGTGTGAGCGACTATCACAGGTTCCGAAATACATTATACACGATGCATGGACTAAAATAAGGCGGGTTTGTCTGCTTAGGTGTCCACTAAGATGACCCCTGATACTCCCCATGAGTCGCCTGAGACAGTTGTTTAGCGCGGACTTCCATTTCTCGGCGGACTCCCTCGCTACGTATATATCAGTAGGATCCGGGGTCCCTTCACGTATACTTCCCTCTGATCCTTGCGTACTTTCTTCTCCGAGCGAACTGTCATGCCCGTCACTCCCCAAGCTCTCTGTCCTCTGACCTCCTCGAGGTTCACTCTTAGTTACAATTACAAGCATGAGCTTCAATACATAGCCACCCGATACACGGCGGCACCGCTCGTTGGAGAGTCCAAAGCCATTCCCGTCTGCCTCATGATCACCACTGGTGTTGGCTGCAGTAATTATACCGGATTTAATTCTGCAGTGTCTAGTTTCATTTATTGACGTTTTTTTCAGCGTCAGACCTTTGGATTCCAGCTATCAAACATCTCTTCAACTTGCAAGCACAGTTCCATGCTTCTCTTCGCATCATATCGATTTGGGTGGTTGATAGGCCAAACCACGATGACGCCGCTGTATTGAACGAGAAGGTGCTCAATGAATTTTACGCTGAGTCTTGTGAGTATTCTTCTAGTAATCGTTTCTACGTTACTTTGTTTAACGATGAACGGGCTTCAGTCGATAACGTGGAATACGGGATGGCCGTTCGTTCCTTCATCGAAGGTGGATGCCTTTCCGACGACGAGAAGGAGAATCTCGTTGCGATTGCACACTCGGGATCCGGCGCATCGGTGTGAGTTCGTTTGTGTATTTGTTTGTTCCAACTTCTAAATGGTGGCCCCTGCAGTATCAAATCTCTACGCGATGACTCTAGCATCCCTTACCGAGCCATCGTCATGGTCGAGCCTTTGTATCTATTGCGCTCCAAGGAGACAGTCGCATTGTTCGGGAAGATATTTGCTCGAGCACGAAAGGCGAATGCGGCAATGCCGATGTCGTTCAGGTCCAAGAAGGAGGCCATGAAGTTCCTCACTTCTTTCCCTCCCTGGAGTTTCTTCGACGACGACAATCTTCGCGTACTGTCTGTGAGTGTACTGTCTGTCTTCTTATTTACACCGAGTAACGTCTTTCGTTTCAGGATACCTATTTCATTGAACAGAACGATGGGAGCGTGAAGTTGAAGACACCAAACGTACAAAGGACTGCATCCTTCACCGACCTAGAAAGCGGTTTCTGGGGTACCGAGCGTGTACAGGAGTTGGTTCATCACATTCCGCTTCACGCAATGATGGGCGCCATCCATGACCAGTGGTACGATACTCACTGATGCCATTATGTTTCAATATGTTGACACAATTTCGGTTCTAGGCCGGAGCCGTTCTATGCCAAGATCTGGGAGGTACTCAACATTCTGAAGCCCAATCTCGCCTCGTTGACCGTCATCGAAGGAGCAGGTCATCACGTATGTTTCTTTTTGATGAAGAACTATGGAGGAGTTGAAAGCGACTGATCGTTATGGCAATAGATTCCTCATCAGAAGCCCGAGGAGATGGCTGTCGCACTGTTCGATATACTCGCTAAGGGCGGCCAGAAATCGAAGCTTTAGGATCGCAGTTGCAAGTATGTTCTCGCTGATGGTCAGGGGCCGTCTTCTTATCCTTTCAGTCTTCCGTGATGTAGTGCTTTTCAGCATAAATATATTTAAATGCCTTTTCGATTGACGAAGTATTTCACTGTCCACGCGGAAATCCCAAGATTCAAAACCCGTAGACTTGGTTCTTATATTATCTTCTCCAAAATGTACGCGGGTAGCTCTGGTTAGTACCTTAAGTACTTCGACAGACACTGGTGAGACACTTTATCGGGGTTCGACGAGAGTAATATGGCCTCAGAACCAATAAAGCGGTACCAAGCTAGCTACATGATCATTTCCTTCGCCCCTTCTCTACGATAGTTATGTTTTGCACGAGAGCCTTGTCCATTGGCGCCAAAACCATGGATGGCGAGTAATTATTATCGTGCTCAGCATCATGCTCCTAGCCGAGCAAACCCTCCGGCCGCCTGGTGGGCCATCAATTTTACCGACTCCGGGTTATACGGCTGTTCTCTCGATACTACTCAATATGTTGTTTGTTTAATCATCGCGCGCGCATGTACGTTCCGGAATACTTCCCGCCCATTGCCTTTTCCGCCAACATCGCAGTTGTCTAGATGAGGAAAACGGCTTGCGATAGGATACGTAACCGACAAACAGGTGCAACGAATCGGAGAAAACACGTCAGCCTGAGCGTCTATTCATTCAAATGAGTCCAATCTGCACATCAATGCATCGCCCGCACTTCCTGCTTCTGCGCTCTCACACACTCCTCGCGTCCGAGGTCGTTGGAGTTACAGAAATGGGTATAGCTTGGGTATAGCGTTCTACTACTTCGTAACGATACTCCGCCCAACCTCTGTGTATTTCCGGAATCTGGTACTTCCAACATGAATCGCCGCTCCGTTTCCATTGATGCTCGTCTCGTCCGTGACCATACTCAAGGAAACTTTGTCATGCACTACCGGTGCGGCGTCCTAAGTGTATCCGCAAGCCGGACTGAATTCCTCTACATATTATCCGACCCTTGGCCTATGCTTCTATACTGTCGCCGTCATGCAAACCCCACACCGTGACCAAGACGTCGAGCTGCGCGACAGTACGAAAATTCTTGATACAGCCTATGTGTCTGACGTCGATCCCCCACGCCATGTCGTCGACGGTGGCACCCGCGCCTGGTCAAGTGTCGTCGGAGGGTATGATCCTGTCGTACGCTCTGTATCACTTTCAAGTTGTTGACCCCATCTCTTAGGTGGCTTGTTCTCGCTGCTACTTTCGGATACACCAATGCATTCGGAGTCTATCAGGATCTGTACACTCGAGCGGGCGACGCGTCGTCCTCACGCGTTAGCTGGATTGGTTCCACTCAGCTTTTCTTTCTCAGTGCTATGGGCGTCGTCTCCGGGAAGCTCCTCGACATGGGCTATTTTCGGACGACCAACATTGTTGGTTCTATTCTCTATGTCTTTTCGTACGCCCTAGCACTTCCACGCGTGGATTTCACAAGTACTCATTTATCTTTTTTCTTTCCGATCTCCGTAGCCTTTTCATGGTTTCACTAGCACACCCTGAGAAATACTATCAGGTATTTTTATCCCAGGGAGTCGGTATGGGTATTGGGGCAGGGTTGTTGTATACTCCTGCCCTTGCCGTTCAGGCGCACCATTGGCGCACGCATCGCTCCCTTGCAATGGGCATAGTCTATACTGGTGCGTTCCAAGAGAGTCGTATTTGACTTCTATTTTGTTGATAGTAGGCATGGCCAGGCTCTGCGGTCGGGGGAATTGTATATCCCATCATGCTCAACCAACTGTTCCATGGATCTGCTGGCTTTGGTTGGGGAGTGCGTGCCAGTGCTTTTGTTATCCTAGGCCAACTCGTCGTCGCGAACGTTCTCATGACCACGAATCCACGGAAACGAAGTGAGACACTTGAGTCAAAGCCAGACATCAAGAGTATCGTACGGGACATTCCTTACTTGACATCTTGCATTGCGTAAGTGTTATTCAATGGTTATCATTGGCTACGCCTCACCTTTCGGACAGCACATTCTTCACTTTCTTGGGGGTCATATTTCCCTGTGCGTCTGACAAAATCTCCGACGTGCGTCTGGCACTGATTTTATTTTCCAGATTTCTATCTGCAGCTGTACTCGGTATTGCACGGAGTTGATTCCACTATCTCCTTCTATACGGTGAATTTCGTTCTGCATTCAGAGTCCGTCTTAACACACTCTTACTACTTTTATCCTGTAGCTGGCGATCATGAACGCCTCATCCACATTTGGTCGCACCCTTCCCAATTTTCTCGCTGATTACACAGGCCCATTCAATACCATCGTGCCTTCATGTCTTATTTGTGGTGTACTCGTCATCGCTATGCTAGGGATTAAGTCTACCGCCGCCATCATCGTCTTCGCCATTCTCTATGGATTTAGCTCTGGCGCGTGTGAGTCCGGTTGTGAATGAAATATCTGTGTGCTGTCCCCTGACATTATATTTTGTAGTCTTCTCGTTATGCACGCCTGCGTTGGCTACTCTTGCCAGGGATGAGAGCGAAATTGGGTATGTATCCTTCTGGTATTATCGTGAGCCGCACTGACTGCCTACCTCATATAGTGTGCGCGTTGGCCTTGCTTTTGCCATCGTGTCATTGGCGTGTTTGGTGGGAACACCAATCGAGGGCGCCTTGCTCGGTGCACGGTTTGCGTGGGACAGAGCCATTATCTTCAGCGCCGTGAGTTAATTTTTTACATCATATAATTGAAAGAACGTATTATTGAGGCGAGTTCTGTCTTTTCTCACCCTATGCCTCCACAGGTTATGATCTTTGTGCGTGCTGGGTTGATGACGATTACCAGGCAGATGGTGGCACAGAGGAAGCAAACCTGGCTCGTGTAAGGCCACAAAGTGTATACAGGACGCCATTACTTCTTGTCAACACCCGTACACTCGCAGTAGTATATTCTCCTGGCTCTTTTGACTTTTCATATCATACCCGATCAAGTGTCCTCCATACTGCCTCACTAAGGATGATCCAAAATCCATTTTAGCACTTCGCCTCTCACATTGGTGAATCATGTAAATGAAAGCCAAGTCCAAAACAGCGCTACAGACAGATCATGAGTATTGGCACTGGGTGTTGAGTATACTGAAGACGACGGAGGTCTAGATCGGACTTGGATTGGACGTGGTTGGGTAAAGTCCGACGAAACGGCGTCCGACGTTGTCGGCCCGCGTCCGTTGTCCCGGACAGACCCCAACCTCGTCAGACTCAGACATGACCATACTGTACCTCGGAAGAGCTCAGACCAACTCTTTGGTTTTCTGCCGTTCTACTAAATCGCCGAAGCCGCATTCACGTTCTATATATGGGAGCAGCATAAGTACTAAGTAGCGTATGTATGTACCTGGAACGCGTCAGCGGTTGAGCTGATCTAACTCATACAGATCGGATGGATCGTCTTGCTCTGGGAAAACGCGGCCTTAGTGCTGTCCGGATCCATTGGAGTCCAGTGGCAGATACCTCTCACGATCGAGGTGATACTGAAGCTCTGCATCGTCGTTCTATCAGATCTGACCGCGGTTTTCTGATCATCAGCGCTAGAGCCTGAAGCATATGGCGGGCACAGTTTATGATTGTGGCCCTATTTAGACATCTTCTGTGCGCTTGATGACTGCGAACTGGCTTCCATTATGGTCCAAGACGCTCAAAATATGATGAGAGTCACTTCGACGAAGCCGTCCTACTCTAACTCAACTGGCAATGCTAGCCGATCGACCGGCATGTATACAGAGGTACCGGATCCTGTTTTTGGATCCCCTGCGCGCTTACTTATAGAGTACATTCCAAATACGCTCGCAATCCCTCCGCTCGCTCACCACTGTTTCAATATACGTTCTTCCGTCACATAAGGTCAAACCATGACTTCCCCTATGCCTTCGACTTCCTCCATCGCGACTGCTACATTGGCAGCATCTCTCGCTTTCCTATTTTTCTGGCGTCTAACTTCTACATCCCGCTTGCCAGGATCGGTCGGTGCCAATGAGAATGTACCAATTTCTCTCAGAAAGGCAGCAATGTCCAGGCGCGGAGTATGGGAGGTGTTCGACGACCTGGCGAAGAAGTATGGTACGTGTGCCAGTACTTTATTGCAAGTGTTCCTCGGGATTCATTTTGTGTTATAGGTGAAATATGCTCCTTCCAGTTAGGTAGAACATCCATAGTCGGTAAGAAGGAGTCGAACTGCTCTCCGTACTCAGAGGGGTGCTGATGTCTTCCTGTGTGAGAAGTGCTGAGTTCCGCCAGATTGGCGTGGGAGCTTTTGGAGAAGCGGGGCGACATATATTCCAGTCGTCCCCGTCGAGCCAGCGCAATTTAACGTGTGGCGCGAACTTGTAACTTGACTTGCCTGCCAAATTGGGCATGACTTAATGGAACGAACTTGTGGCACTTGCGTACCTCTCACTTGTGGCGCACTTGTGCTCCTATAATGTTCGATAACCGTGTAGCTCACCAGCGATGGCACCCATAAGTATCACACCTGGTAGGCCCTACATCGTTATCCTCCCTCTCTCATGTTAACGCGTATCTCAACTGAGAATCTTTGTTGCTCCTACACCGAGTCGCTCGTCGATCACTTTGTATCAGTTATAGCGGGCTTAAAACCTCACTGCGTACACTTTTGCGTGAGGTTTTCTCGAGCTATCGCTCTAGCTGGAATTTACCCTCGGAGATTTGATTTTTCTCGATGGGCTATAGATGCCCGGCATGGCGATACCGGCCGTTGCAAAGATGGAATCCTTGGGATTACGTTGATGCTATAATTCTCCCGTTCCGTTCGGGTCAAACAGAGTGGTAAACTTCACACGTACGGGTTATATCTGAGTGAAGACTCGAAGTCACCTCTTGTTTAACTATGTTAGAAACACTGGTCTTTGGTCATCTCGATCCTTTAACGTACGGTTGTACACATCTCTTCACTCTAGTTTTCCCGGTCAGCACGTGTCCGAAATACCTTTTCCACTGCTACATTTAGCACACTGATCAACTTATGACATGGTGTATGATTCACTTGTGGGCACTTGGATCTAACTTGTATGACTGCAGTAACGCAAGCTTGAACAAACTTGTAAGGCCAAGTTTTTCAAGCGAGCTTGTAGAGCACGCATGCTAACTTGCAAGTTAACTAAGGTAGCCTAGTTTGTCGAACCAAGTGTGATCGTTGAGTATATATCTAGTCGCTATAAAAGTCTCGTTACAGTTGGATACTGGGGATGCCCAAGTCATTGCTATTCGCATGCTACAAGTAATAACTTGGTGGGTGCCAGTAGTGGAAATCTCAGCATCGGGTGCTTAGTAGGAGGCAGGCTATGCATTTCTGAGCTAGCACTTCTAATAACTATGATGACCTTTGATTAATGTGTCCGCGGAGTCATCATCTACAGTATCCAAGTCCTGACTTGTGATGCTTGAGGTACACAGGCAAACGACCAGCTACGCATTGGCGATCGTGTACGAGACCAAATAGTCAAAAGTCTGATCACATGTACAGTAGGTATGTCCGACGGGGCATGGTAAGTGCTATACAAGTGGTAGAAGGACCTATTGATGCCTCATAATCTCAAAAGTTTCACAAGTGCGCCAAGCTATACAAGTTCGTAAACGCAAGTTTGACAGCCAAGCGAGCTTGCGAACTTGCAAGTTATCGGGGACAAATTAACTTGTACAGCCACAAGTTTGCGCAAGTTAACTTTTGGGCGTCACAAGTTCGAAATCCAAGTTAAAATGTGAACCCTCGTCCCCGTCTCGTTATGGCGTATGTCTTACACGTTCTGCCAATTTGAACTTCATGAATTGATATCCATCTTACTAGTCATGAAATTCTGTCTGGGGGTATGCGTGGCTTGACGTCTCCTTACGGCGAATACTGGAGGAAGTGGAGGAAGGTTCGTAGATAATCGTCGCAGTGTTATCAGGCGCAGATTGACTTGGTACTTTTTTCACAGGTGCAACACACAGGTATGAGCGGCCGAGCCTCTGTAGCATACCAAGAACATCAAATGCTCGAGTCAGTCCTCGTCCTTAAGCAACTTCTTGTCGATGCAGACCGTTACAAGGATATCATTCAAAGGTTAACACACATCACGTTTCAATGGTTGCACTACACTGATGTGCACTCTCGCCGTAGATTTGCCGTGTCCATCGTTTTGGGAATCAGTTACGGGAGAAGAGCAGCCAGTTTGGAAGACGAGATGGTCAAGTCTAATGCAGCAGCTATTGCAGGTTTGTCGGATTGCATCTCACATCCATATTGGCGCTTAAATTCCGTCTTTGCCTATTCGTCTTCGCTCCGCACAAGTGGCACAAAGGTGAGTATAACGTCGTGCGTACCATTCCCACAGCTCTGACGAGTCACTTATTATTTAGTGCTACGTGAGTGTATTTTCAGTTTTTTAAACCTTGACGGCGAGGTTAAAACCGCCTTCACAGCGCTCCGGGGAAGTATTATGTTGATACTGTTCGTGCTTTCCTTTGCCCTTATCTTCTTAGACTTGACCAGGCGATTACTTCCTGTAGTGGCCGATTCTTCTCTGGCTTCCGGCAAGTACGGTGTAATTGCTATACCCTAGATTATGCTCATATACTCCCAGCGTCCATTACAATCATTCCGAAAATCCGCAGAGCTCGTGCAAGAAAAAGACGAAGCACTGTACGTGTCACTGCTACGCAGTGTCCAAAGCAGGATGGACCGAGGAAACGCCAAAGACTGCATGTCGACTAGGGCCCTGATCCAGAGTGAAGGCCTTTCCGAAAGAGAAATTGCGTACGCGGTATCAGCACCCTTTGGTGCTGGAGTGGATACGGCACGTCCCTACTTTATCTTCGTCGTTATGTCAATGTAATGATCATAGGTTCATTATGTTTAACCCGATCAAGACGTCTGCTAGCCTGGAGTGGTTCATCGGTATTATTTTTCTGTTCTGCCAATCGTGATGGGGACTCACGAATTTCTTCTCAGTGTCTGCTTTGGTCCATCCGAATGAGACTACGAAGGCGAGATCAGAGATCGACTCTGTCGTTGGCCGATCTAGGCTACCCACATTTCAGGATGCAAAACATCTGAAGTACTTAGAAGCCTACATCAAGGAGCTTCTTCGGTAAGGGCCATCTGGCTCCCTCTCTTGTGCGTAATATTAATTTTGTGTTATAGATGGAGGCCCGTTGTGCCTATGGGAGTTCCCCACAGCGTCACAGAAGACGATAAAATGGATGTCAATGACGGAAGGATTTATAAAGGCACCACTGTTTGGGCTAACATCTAGTACGTACACCTTCGGTGCTCTGTCTCCGTATATCACTCGCACATCTTGTGCGTCTACTCGCTGAGCATTCCTCACACTTCATTCAGCACAATGATGAAAGATCCATCAATGTTTCCAGACCCACATGTCTTCCGCCCCGAGCGTTTCCTCAAGTCGACCGATCCTCGATTCAAGGACTTTACTCTTCCCTTCGGTTTCGGCCGAAGGATGTGTCCTGGTATGCACGTCGCTTCGCAGAGCGTTTTTATCGTGATCGCACGGTAAGCCCTTTTTGCTTGATATGCAGTCGAAACGAAGAGTTGAGCACAGCACACAGGATGCTTTGGGCCTTCAACATAACACAGTTGTCCGACGCAGACCTCTCGGACGGGTCGGCGTACCAGACGGACGGCTTAGTGATGAGTCCCAAAAAGTTTAACTTCAGGGTCAGTCCTAGGACAGGCGACGTGCTCAGTATGATAAATAACGAAGCCATCGAGGCCGAAGCGAGGTTACGCGAGTGGGACTGATCGGCACAGACACCGGGGCCGCACATTGCGTATCCACCGGACTATTCTTTTAGCGTCACCTTTGCGTTTCCTGGTAGTTTTTCTTCCGGATCGACTGTATTTATTATCTTGTCACGTACGATGTTGAGAAGAAGCCTCGTTACGATGCTACTGAGAAATAGTACTGCGGCGGACTGGAGCTTGAAGGCGAACTTCGATTTCTCACTGCTTTGGAGACATTTTGGATCTTGGAACTTGAAGCTGGAGCTCCTCGCTGAAGTTCCGAAAGATGGCCAAGCAATTGCTCTGATGCAAGAAGAGGTAAGCATTATTGTATAGTTGTCGGACAGTCCGCTCTCCTACGATCCTAAAGCTGTGTTTGGCGCATATGGCCGCTGAGGTAGCAGATAGAAGCCAATCAAACTTCACGGTGACGGTGTCGTAGCCGGCCGTGACACAAAGACTTTCGACATCAGTCCTGCCTGTTTAGCTCTTTGGTAGGTAATTTTGGTTGACGTCCACTTGTGTCTGATCCATTCCATCTTTACTAGTTTCCTCAAGGTCTGAAGACGACTCTTGATATGTACTCGAGTACTGCTATAACGGTACACACAATGATTCATGAGTACCGTCATGCTTCCCGGCATGGTAGTCAGCATGACACAGTGATTCTCCTTCAGCTACCATCAGCTACCATCAACTACCTGCGGTACACATCATCGACTTCTGTATAGAAAATGAACGTCGCCTACTCTGTAGAGCATAGGCGAGGATAAAATACTAGTTTGGGCGCGCTGTAGCGCCGTCAAGTCAGATTAGCGATATCAGAAGCTCATTGCAGAAAATTTCTACATTCTGACATACTGTCTCAGCGTCTCATATGGTCATTTGGATCAGATCACGATGGTCACCAGTTGCCTCACGTCCCAAAATAGTACCTGGTTTACATGTATATATACGATTTGACCCCTTCAGGGAGCGTCAATTCACCAACCACAATGTCTGCTCCAACGCTAAACTCTACCATCGGTGCCATTGAGATTGGAATCCTCCTTGGCTTCGGTTTCATGGGTGCCATGGTCGTCCAAGCGTATACATACTACCAGTCTGACTTTAGCGACACCAAGCCTTTGAAAGCTTTGGTGGGTGCTTATTACGGGAGGACGTGGTCATATTTCTCATTCGTTTATTTTCATCAGATCGTATCTGTTTGGTTTGTATTTGATATTTTAACTAATACCTTCCTATCTCTCCTGAAACGTTTTGTGTCACAGCGTGCTAGAGATCGTCCATACCGCTTTCATAGGTGTATACGTCTACACCTCTACAGTAACCCATTTCGGTGATCTTGCCGCCTTGACCATCGCGGAGTGGAGTCTCGGGTTTTCTATCCCAGTCGCTAACCTAGTCATGGTACTCGTGCAGGTTTGTTCGATTCTCTTCTAAATTCATCACATTTTTACCTATACCACATATACCCTAATAAAACCCCCAGAGCTTCTTCGCCTATAGGGTGCACTGTCTGTCCCAACGTTGGCCCATAACCATCATTTCCTGGACAGGATCATTCGTCCGGATCGTGTGCGCTCTGTCTATCTCCATAATCTCACATATCGAGAAGGAACTTCCGATCTTCATCGACAAGTTTCGGTGGCTCGTTATTACGCTGCTGGTCGTGGGGACCGCGGTGGATTTACTGAACATGGTCGCGTTGTGTTATTATTTGTATCGTGCGAGGTCGGACATCATGAAGTGCGTACTCTTGGCTCTCATATTTGTCGTCGCAGGTCTCATAACTGGCTCTAGGTCTCGTAAAACCTTGGAGAGATTGTTGCTGTGGACTATCGGTGCGTTATCTCGACATTGTCTCGCTGGAGCAATAGTGCAAATATACTGACTTTGACTGTAGAGACCGGGTCTATAACAAGGTACCATACACTTATCCTCTTCTTCTTCGTCGACTTAGTAGTTCTCTGCAATTTCCATGACAGCATTTGCAATATTATCAGTCTTATTCTTGTGAGATTCTCGATACATTATATGTTCCCTTCCACTAATGCAGTCTACATCTAGCTCGTTTCTCAACCCAACAGCAGTAAGTTTCACGGTCTCATAACGTCGTCATAGGTTCTGAAGAGATGCGGCCCATAGCTTCTTTCCTCTGCCTTTCGATGTTCACCACAAAGAGTAAGCTGCGCCATTATTTATACTTCTATCATTTCACGCTTTTGAAACTTCGTTACTGTTGGTACAGTGTACTCCAACTCACTCTTCGCATCGTGAGTATCCTATTATTTTTCTTGGCGCGCCCATGACGGTGGATAAACGAAACCGATAGACTGAACGGCCGACTATCCCTCCGGTGCGAAGGCGCACAGAGCCATTACACCATATCCAACCTCAACGCAAGCAGGGCCTTCGAAATCAGAAATGCTCCCAGTAGACATCCTCTTACTCTAGGCGTGGTATGTCCCGTCGATTCCAATCTATTCTTCCACGCGCACATCGTTCCTTGTATACATGGGCTAGGAAATATTATTACTCACAACTTTGTCTCGCCTCGCTGTCTGCCAGTCTAAAACCTCTGGGTCTGAAGTAAACACAGCAGGCATGCACCAGATGTCGACCTTCAAAGCGACTCGTCGTGGGTCGGATGCCACGCTAAACGTCCCGAGCTCCACGAAATCACGTACTTTTGTCAGTGATTGTTCACTTTTTTTAAATCTCCTCAAGTCTTGGCCATAAAACAGGGCTAACTAGAAGTGTATGCTGTTTAACCTTGTAGGATAGTCCGCGCGGGGATAGTAATGAAGCTTATTAGTGGCCTTCAGGTCGTCGGGCTGAGCCTGGACATGTTCTGCCTCTACTTCTCTTGAGATCTGTGACAATTGGTGATATACTTGCGGCGATCACCTTATACTCCTGCTGTTGTGTGGAGCCACTTGAATTTTACTTCTACTTACATTTTTTTCCGGCCGTTGAGTACAAGTAGCAATGTACAGCCGTTTGCATATGAGATCGGAGTGATGCGCGGAGAAAAAAATGGTGTGCCTCAACCAAACAAAGCCATCAAGAGCAGTCCTTTTCGGCACGGTTCGACAGTGGCACCAGCACTCGTGCAGCCGTTTTGCACTGAGTATCTGCTTTGAGTCTCGACAGCCTCTATACACAAATTTTCAGATTATTGCAAGAGTCCCCCCGTAGATACAATGAATTATGTTTATATGAGAAGTCAAATCAATGTGTACGACAGGGTAAGAAGATGAAAGATGTACAAAATATACAGCAGTCCCGGTGTGTACTACGACCCTCGACAGACCGATGAAACCAGTCGGCTCAAATACACAGACAAAGTATTTAACGAGATACTCGGCTGCGAAAGGTTCCACTCACTGAGAACGACACAAGTGTCGAATAGGTCCATAACAAGAGTGCACGAACCGCGAATTCAGTCAGAGATGTATAGTGCACAGAGACAGATATGAGTACTCAGCAGCTGACTGAGATACCAACTGCATATAAATGGATCCTCCCCGCGAACGTACATGCAAACAGACGAAAGTAGTGCATAGAAGATGGATCTATGGCTCACCAAAAGTGCAAGTTAACCATCCGACAACCGTACCCGTACGACCATTGACGCCTACGATTCCCTTCGACCATCCCTGCGTTATACACTTACAGCTGTTCCCACGAGTGACTGAAACCGTTCAATCAGCGACATCAGTTGAAGATGTGTGGATTCGACGTCGAGGCAGTAAGGGCAGCTTGACGGCCTGGCTATGGATGATGAGTCGCGCAAAGTGGCCAACTCCTTGTGATGGATCACCGGTGTACCCAACGTCACCAGATGATAAGCGAGAATGAGGCAGACAGGCCTCTACGAACGACGCTGAAGCGCACTGGAGGTAAGCAACGGTGGAACTCGGAAGCAGCAAACAATGCCAGGCTATTAGTCCGCCACAAAGCCTGCCGAAGTCGCGCCGAGAAGAACTGCCATTTATGGGCATTGTTTGGTTGAGGCGTGCCATTTTTTTCTCCGCGCGTCACTCGATCTCATATGCAAACGGGCCGTAAAACACTCCGTATATCGCGCGCCACACGCCACTCTACTTAATACATATGACCACCAGTCATTTCCGGCGAGACCGGCAAAGGTATACAGTAATCCCCATCTTTTGGAACATCATGCATCATGATCATGCATCGCTCCGTCTCTCTTCGGCCTCTCTATCGCCCTCTTTCCCAGACGGATCCAGGTTTGTACGGGTTACACGGCGAACGAGTTTCTCATTATGGCTGCCTGGAATCTCAACGGTTGGTGCCTAAATAGGACGACAACACGCGCTTGAAGGTAAGGCACTTTCTTGCTGACAGAAGACGTGAACGAGCTCCCTGAACTGCAGTACTTCTTTCCAGGTTTCACCCACTCTCAATGTCGGACTACTGGCTTCTCGCGGTTACTACAGTAATCGTACTGGGCACCAGCCTTCTTCTACGCACGAAGAGCCAACCACCACCTGCGTACATCGGAGATCGTGAGGACATCACGGCGTTGGTACGCGCTGGAGCAATCGAGAAGAAGGCCATCTGGGAGGTATTCGACGGGCTCGCGAAGAAATATGGTACGTCTACGTGTACAACTCATTGCATGGGTATAAACTCTGACTGATGTCTATGGCATGGTTAGGCGATATCTTTTCATTCGAGCTCGGAGGAAAGCCGGTTGTTGGTATGTGCACTGTTCATCTTATCGTTTCTGAGTTATTGCGGTAGTTACTAACTCATGTGTGTGTGTGGAGTCTTGAGCTCTGCGCAGATGGCCACTAATCTTCTCGACAAACGAGGAGAGATCTACTCAAGTCGTCCTCGTCTTATCATGGCGTGCGTGTCCTACATTCATCTTTGAATTCTCAGTCATTGAATCAGTCATTGCTAGCCATGAGATTCTCTCCGGAAATTTACGTGGTTTGAGCGCTCCGTATGGCGAATATTGGCGCAAATGGCGAAAGGTACGTGGCGCGTCTTGATGCTATATGCCCCTATCTTCCAGCCCTGCAACGCGCGATGAAAGAGGAAGGGTACTTGTATTCTCGACCAGATACAAGCCCATCTACTCCCGACTACTAGTCTGGATATACCGTAGTTGACCGTAGATTCGTCTGCCTAGATTCAACACACCGGCATGAGCGGACGAGCCTCTCTAGCGTACCGCGAGCATCAAACATTAGAGTCAACCGTTTTGCTTCGTGATCTTGCGCGAGACCCGAGTAACTACTCCTCCCTAGTCGAAATGTAGGCACCACATTCGCCTATTCAGTTTTCAATCGCATTGGCCCGCTGACTGCGAAGTTGGTCATATAGGTTTGCAGTGTCGGTAGTGCTGTCCATTAGTTATGGGAGACGAGCTTCGAGCCTTGAGGAAGAGGTCGTCAAGGTCAACGCTGAGGCAATATCGGGTGCGTGGTGTATTACTGTCATTCATTGAACCCAGCTCACCATCCGTGTGCAGAATTTCAACGGTACTACCTTCCATCTTCTTTCATTCTGGAAACTCTCTGATGGGCCTGTGCCTTTGATCTAGTGTAATGTGAGTATCATACGTCTTTTGACGTGTTCATCTCTTACTTATTTGTGTGTTATACAGCACCTCCGGAAAGCACGTAGTTGAAACCGTACGTCCTGGCATAACAAATTAAGCCCTACGCTGACCGAGTTGAACCAGTGGCCAAGTCTGCTCTGGCTCCCAGTGAGTTTTTCATTCCTAATCTTCGCCATGTACTCCACCACTCATATACACCCTAAGCGTCCGCTTCAGTGGTTCCGTCAAGATGCCGACAAGAAGCACGCAGCAGACACGCGCTTTTATCTTCGGCTATTGAGGGATGTACGCAGACGAATGTACGCAGGTACTGCGAAAGAATGCATGTCCTCGCGTAGTCTGGCGGCGCCTAGTAGTAATGTCAGCGAAGTCGAGGTCGCATACTCGGTAGCGGCCCCGTTTGGTGCGGGTGTTCATACGGTCAGTTGATCATAAACCTCTATGTCTGCATCTCCCTTCTCACAATGTGCATCGTACCACAGACTTCGGGTAGCATTGAATACGCCATTCGTCCGTCTTCCTGCTTTTGCCTGTTATCTATCCGACCACTACTTATATTCCTTTCATAGTGGCGATGATTCTCTACCCAGAGACAGCCCACAGAGTCCAAGTAGAACTCGACGCTGTCGTCGGACGAGAACGATTCCCTGGTTTCGAGGACGAGTCTTCCCTTCCATACCTTCACAGTTTCATTCTGGAACTCTCGCGATGGAGACCTCCTGTTCCGCTCGCCGTTCCACATGCTGTCACGAGGGACGACTACTTTCTAGGCGGGCGAATCGCAAAGGGGACCACAGTTTACGGAAACATCTAGTACGCTTTATGTCCTTTCTCCTCTTCGCGCGGTTTGAGCGCTGATGGTGGGTGTCCTGCGGCAGCACTATGATGCAGGACACTGTCATGTTCCCAGATCCAGAAGAATTCCGACCTGAACGGTTTATGGATGGCGCCCTGTCGGACTTTACGCTGCCGTTCGGTTTTGGAAGGAGACAATGTCCCGGGATGCACGTAGCTTCTCAATCGCTTTTCATCGTCATCGGGCGGTAAGTCTTCTTTTGCTCCCTTTCCATGAAAGGAATTCCTGCACTTTGTTTACTCGCTTGTAACATGGTCGACTCACTACTACTCACTACTAGACTACTCTGGGCGTTCGACGTCGTGTCCCTCGCCGCGCCAGACCCACACTCCTATGTAAACCATGGACTGGTGAGAGGTCCGGGCAAGATATCGTTCGAATTGCGTTTCAGGGACAACGACGCGATGAGGCTAGTGGAGGCTGAGGCTGCAGAGGCTGAAGAGAGGCTGAAGGAATGGGCCTAGGTAATTACTGGACGGTCTGGTGTTGGCACTTTCTCATGTGCTTGTAGGCTTTGAAAGGCTCGAACTGTCATCTGTGGCGACCCCTCTAGATGGGCATCTTTGTATTTTGGTCCGATTTCCAAGTAACTTTCTAGGGTTCTTGCGTCGTTTGTGCTGATCCTATACAGACTGCTCTGTGTTTGAGCTTTCACAGGGTAATCAAGAATTTCCATGTTCCGGATCTCTTGCTTCCAACAGTTCCGACTTCAGGGTTGATTTGGAAGTAAACCCCGACGCTTCTCAGTCTGTGTCAAGTCTGTGTCACCTATGCAATACGCCGACAGACTCCGGGTGTATCAATCCCGCCCATATTCAGGCATCATCGTGCAAGGCGGATATCGCGAAGTTAGCAGTCGGCTGCTTTATCTGACGGTGCTCTGGCTCAGGTGGGGGAGGCCATGACCGCGGATCGTCCGGAGTATCTTACAACAACGTTTTGGAAGTCTAGACAAGCGCAGTGTTGGATTGGCTACGAAACATGATGCACACGTTCCCGCCTGTCTCTCATTCCAGCCACGTACGTTGTACCGAAATACATCTTCTGCTAAGTATTCTTCTTTACTACTCTGCCAATGTTCTCAGGCTCAAGGCGTTATACTCAAACTTGAAGCCTCTATTATGTTGTTTGTTCTGTGCCATGCATGCAGCAGTAATGTAATTTTGTTACAGCCCTCCCTTAGCCTTAGCTACTCTTGCTTCAGAAAGTTTTTCGCTTCTGTTCTCCTCAAGTTCTCCTCGTACTGACTTGCCACTCGCAGTGCGCCGCTCACCTCCAACAATCATGCAAGCTCCGAGTCCTCTGGGCTCCTCAGGCTCATCTTGAGGCCTGCCAGACGATGTTGCTTCGTATCCCTCGTACATTCCTTTAGTGAACTGCGCGGTTTCCCTCTGCGGACTGCGATTTTCTACATTGGCAGTGATGCATAGTATGCATATGAAGGCATCTGAGCGCAAGTCTGAGCGGTTCATGTGGGTTCATGACTCGGATGAGCAGCGTTACACTTAAACGTTGCCTAACCGGTTGCTTCAAAAGGTTTTGAAACCTCAACTGTTTGTGTCCGCCCGTTGTCAAGGTTCAATGGTCTAATGGTTATGATTTCTGTCTCACACGTCTCCGGAAGGTGCACAGAAGGTTCCCAGTTCGGTCCTGCGTTGAACCAGTCAAGCAGAATCTTTGCAGGCCGTATTTTTTGCACTGGTGCTATAAGTTTGGTAAAGAGAATCCCGAACCCAAACCAGACTCACAAAAGAATCATAAGTGGCGGAAGGAAGGAAAGTCGTTGCCAAAACCAATGAGTGGTGCCCATACTTAAATCTGATGTCATCCTTACCTGGGGGGAAAAATCCTGATAGTTTACGGACTTTTCATTGTCGACACTTTTCAAAATGGTATATGCTTCGACGCGGCCTGGTTCTTTTTATGTAACGGTTGGGGAAGACCTGCTATCTTACAAGAGTTCAGCTTCGGATTTCGAGCGATCCCTCCTACCTGTGGTCTTGGTCAGTAGCGCTTATAATCCAGATTTTTCATAACTTGAACTCATATGCGACATACAGTCTCACTATGGGTCCAGGCCTTCTACGTGTATCGCATCTATGTGCTAGGAAAAAAGAGGAGGCTCTACGTTGGTATTATTTGCGTGATATTTTTGGTAACGCTCACTTTCTGATGTGAATCTGTCTACTCAGGCCTCCGTCACCCAAGCTATTGCCTCTATATACGTTGGTGTTAAGGTACGTCAAATATCTGGCTTTGTGATAGGTATCAACGCCTTAGTAGCGATCCCTCAAAAGCTATTCGAGTATCATTCTTTGGACCAGTGGCATATTATTGAGGTTCCGATCGGGGTACGTGTCAGATGTCTTTTTGAACTACGATTTATGGAGCTTAAATATTCGAGTCAAGATATGGAATGTAGGGAGTACCATTGCCGATGTGCTCATCGCTGGCTGCATGGTGTTCTTGGTATGTTCCGGGATACGTTTGGATTGTCCTCTCATCTTATAATATTTCTTCTGCTGATCTAGTTATCATGTTTCAAAAATGATACTATCAACAGAGGACAGGATGCAACCGGTGACATTCTGAACAGATTGATTCGCCGCTCAGTTGAGAGTGGTGCAATGACGGCACTCATCGTGATATTGGACACGGCCGTCATATATGGTCAACCCAACACCACGTTATTCCTTGTTTTGTACGCTTGATTCATTCGTATCAATCAACTATGTTTGATCTGGTGTACGCCAAAACATTTATTTCCCAATCCTCTGCCAGGAGGGAATTATATGTGCTGGTTTACAATAGATCAAATATTGCCTAACCGTCGAGCTCCTTGCTCATTTAGTGGTTAGCTCCATGATGCAGACCAAGGTGTACACAAACTCGTTGATGGTCTCGCTCAATTCTCGCTCCAAATTATTCCATCATCATCTTGGTGACCAGGAGTCTACCGGCAGCTCGATACTGCCGGGAGCTCATAACGTGCCCCACAATCCTCGACTCGTACACATCTCAACATATACTGAGACCTTTGGGCGACCGAGGACTGCTGAAGAGGTATGCCTCTCAAAATAACTGTAACATGTATGTATATATGACCTAGCGATACTGAAATCTAGTGTACAACGGTGTTACAGGGGAATACAGGTCGGGACATTGCCCTAACAGAGCATCAGTACTTCGGGGAAGCCCCTGACATGTCCTGACTAGGTTAGTCAGGGGTTCAGGAGCCGTCAGGGACCAGAGCAGCAAAGTCGCGTCGAAACATAATCAGGACGCTGGTTCGAACCGCTGTCAGGCTGTCAGGAAGGAAGGGTGCAGCAACGGCTATTGTGCTCGCCCCTCGACTGTCTGTACCGGTAGACCGAAGACTGTGTATATATGCATAAATAGACGTACTCTACTAGCATGTTAAAATGGTGCTCGGGTATCTACTACTCTACATGCTTCTCCCTCAATCTAAGACCCGCTCCGACTCACTGTGCGAGAGTTGAGAAGGACTGAGGCCGATAATTCGGGCCCACGGGTCTGAGCTGCGAGGGTAGAAGCTGAAGCCGCCCTCGCCGTCGTCAGAACCGCTACGTGAACCCTCTGATGGGGTAATCATCCCATTGCGTTGTCTAGCTCGCAGGTGACGCCCAGGGTTCGAGTCGAACCCGTCAAAAAAGTTCGGGGGGAGTTCTCTGCCACCCTCCTCGAAGTCCTCCACCAGCCCAATAATTTCTGCGCCATCATCTTCGAGTTCTATACAGTAATGGCCGTGAGACACCGATAAGCGATGCCACAGGTCCCGAGGCAGAAGGAAACGCACCTGCTGAACGTTCAGCGTCTTTTCGCACCATATCAGTGCCCATATTCTCACTCTCTTCCGCCACAACGGTATCTTCTTCGGGAGGTAGAAGATGGCCTTGAAGGATGATGAAGGCACACTCAGCTTCGAAAGGGAGTGAAGAAAAAGTGTACTTACCATAGAGAGGTCCATCTGCATCACGGACTATGCCTGGATGAATAAGTAAAAGCACCGTCAGTCAAACGGTCATGGGGATGTGGCAAACAGAAAGCGAGCCCTGAGAGCTGACGCACCTTGGTCGGGATCACTACGAAGATACACCCCATCAGGGTCATCCACATACAGGTCATCATCCGTGCTTTCATATCCTTCATGCCGATCCCCGTCACCATCGAGTCCATGCACATTACTAGCGTCTTCACGCACACCACCATCTGCACCGCCCATGAGGTCTTCGCCCATTTGCACATCTTCGTCGATCTCCATCCTGCCTCCCGACTCCATGGAACCACCGCTTTCCGCATCGCTGGCGGGAGTGGAATTTTCGTCATCGTGTTCTTCGGGAGGCGGGCTGCTAGGTATATACAAAGCGACGGCTTCGGAGGGCTTCCCACTTGGGGCACGAAATCGTCGACGATGATGCGATACACGTTCGGTTGCCTTCCTGATAAGTTCGTGGAAGAGGCGGGGGCGTTTAATTAACTGGCGTATGGAGCCGTCGCGATGACGGTCTGTTGGGTGCTCGGCCAGATAGTCGCGTGTTCTGTCTTTGATCCATTGGTCTTCGCCGGAAAACGGTTCAAGACCTTCGGATGTGCCGCTCTCGCATGACATGAACGCTCTGTGAACCTGCAGAAGTAACACGAGCAAGAATCAACTACTTGGTACCATAACGAGAATGGAAGGGACACAAAAGCCGAAAGGGCATACCGCTAAAACCGACAGTAAGAGTGCACCAACTGGAAGGTCATCGGGGTCATAAAACTCCTTAATTGCCCCCTCTGTGGCCTTCACGTACTGGATGCCGAAGACTTCGAGGATATATGGAGAACATAGAGGGCCTGTTGGGGTCTAATCGAATCATATTAAGACACCATCAGTACACGTTCGAAAATGTGGAGAGTCACTTACGGTGGGGTGAGGCTTCTCCCAGAATGCTTCACCACACGGACCAAGAGCTCGTTTCACATGAGCCTTTACCGCGGCATCTCCACCCTTTTTCCTGGAAATAGTGAGTGCCTCGGTAACGACCGTATTTGCAGTCTTTTGATAGTGGTTCCGCCATGTATCTTGGCTAGATTTGCTCTGTAACGCATCCGGCAACACGTTCAAAATTATACACAACGGTCATCTTGAGTAAAACAAGAATCTCACCCGTCTGTACAGTATGCATTTCCTTGTCACTTCGTAGTCCTTGTCGGGACAAAGGTGCGAGACAAGCCGTGTAACCAAATCGAGGTAGAGATCCGCTGTTGGTCCGTAAGTGAAAGGTGCGTATGAAACACTTGTAATGTGGTAGAGCGTCGGCATGAAGGAGTCATTGTAATAGGGCTTGAACCAGTCGGGCACCCATTCCCATGCGGTCGACGTTTCTTCAGGACGTTTCGTCTTCGCTGCGCGCGTCGTAGACTTCTTTGGCGGGAGTAGAGCAGCTCGGTCGGGGTCAATAGCATTCTTGTGACCTCGAGAGCGCTGCACCGACGGGGCTGCCTGCGAGGTGTTCGTACAAGATTCAATATCGGCTAAGTCATGCCAGTGGTGCAACGTAATGGGTACGTACCATCTCTGAATCGCCGCTGTTAGGTTCTTCCTCCATGGTCGTGGCCACAAACTCTACCAGCTAGTGACGACAGTACAACGAAGTTGACTTTTGCGATCACTGAAACAAAACTGGATAGTACGCACCTGCTTCCGCTGTCGACCCTGTCCAGTACTACTAGTCGGCTTCAGTGCTCGGACGTCTGCATCATTGAGGCCACCGTCCGTCTCCCTCACAGCTCCAACATCCTTCTCGCTCTTCGGTCTCGGTGCTGGAGTCTTTGCCCCGGGAGGGACTAGCTTTGTCTTCTTGCGCCAGTCTTCAGCAAGGCCGGCGTCACGAATGAGGGGTTTCTTCTTGGTGCTACTTGAGTTCGCGGTGGACTTCGGCCTAGTACGACTCGGTGATCTATGGTTTGGGGAGTTATTGTGAGATTACGACGCTGAACAGGACGAAGCAGTGCAAAATACTCACGCATTGGCAGCGACCAGCGGGACCTCACATTCGTGTCGATTGTCGTCCACAGCTTGACGGTGGTTCTGGATGGACGCGCGTTTCTTCTCTTTAGCGCTGGGTTTCGGTTTCTGGATTCGGACGCGCACACGCTAGCGTGAGATCGACATCCAAGAAAGCCAGTGTCAATGCTTACCTTTCTGCGAACGACCACCTCTTCGTACTCGGACTCGTCTTCGTCACCAAAGAGATCCTCTGGGATAAATTCTGAGTCAATGTCAGAGGGAACCACGTCCGCCTCGTCAATCTCCTTCATCATTCTTGACCGACCATCCATCAGCCTGCCCAGCTCCACCTCCCCATTCTTCCGTCTCAGATCTTTCTCTTCCTGTTGCTTCTCTTTCGCCTCTGCCTTCGCATTCGCCTCGGCTCGCTTACCCGCCGCATCCGCCGAAATGTCTTTCTGACTACGCTTGCCAACCCCTGCCTTCCTCCAAGGATTCTCATCCTTCCCCGGACGTCCTTTTCGTTTTGCTGGTATAGAGATTGTTTCGAGAGGGGATGAAGAAAGGGATTGTGAAAGGTGGACTGGCTCAGATATCTGGGGTGCAGATGTCGAGGCTCGTTTCGCAGTTCGTAAGTTTTTTGTGCTGGATTGTTGCACCTGGCTTTCCTGCGCCTGCTGATCAGAGCATCTGGTACTCAACGTGGCAGGAGGCTGTGTCGTTTTCACCCGTTGGGCTGGAAGCTTCGCGTTTACTGGTGTTGGACGAGGCTTAGCCTGGGATGGAGGAGGATTATCTGTTGGGATGATCGTCTCCTCACTGCGAAGACCTTTGGGTGGCATAGCACAGTCGTCGAGATTAAGAGAGCTGGGTGAGAAGATCGTGAGCAGAGTGAAACAACGGTGAGTACGACGAGCGATGAAGTCGAGTCACTTCTGATGCCGTCGGTCGCAAGGGGTGCCCCAAACCTGTCAAACCAATCGCCTCCCAACCACAACCGGCACGCCACACGGTCTTCTGTTATCGCTCTGCGATCGGCCCTTTACGCTCCGCCCCTCGACGGCCAACATCGAAAACTTCTCTTGCCGTTCGCACCTTCGACCAGCAACTGCCCCCATGGTCCTCACCCGACGTGCGCTGACCTGCGCACTGCTCATCATACTGTTCATGGCCTTCTTTTGCGACCTATGCCGCCAAACCTACCCTACTCGTCGCTCATTCCGCACCCACAACACTCGTGTACACCGTCACCCAAAACCAAAGGCTGCAGTACACAAATTACTCCGGCACCCTCTACTTAATGGTATCTCGTCCTGTTTATCGCTTATGACGACTTGTGCTTACTATTATATTTGACCAGCCATACGAAAAGATGGGCACGGCAATGTTCTCCCTGCTCATGCACCACCACCTCCCGAGGATCTCACGCCAAGCTGGGAAAGCTATGAAGACCGGCCTACGTTCGAAATCGGTGAGATTCTGTTTGAGAAGATGAAGGGGTCCGCCGAAGACATGAACCACCTTTTCCGTGCGTGGGCCGCAAAGAACGTTCTCGACAACAACAAGGACGCACCGTATGTCAATAACGCGGACCTTCTATCCAGGATTGATGCCCTCGAGTTTAACGCTGGCGCTTGGGAGGCAACCTCTGGTCGGTGGACGGGACGGGTAACCGATGAATCAGCGGCATGGAAGCGTACACCATGGACGATGTACATGCGCAACACTCGTGAAGTTTTTTCGACGATGGTTAGTAATCCAGAGTTCCGAGGTGCGTTCACAGTCCACTCACCTGGTCGTTTGGCGGTTTCGGTACTTATCCACGGTGTTAGGCAAATTTGACACTCGTCCATATCGCGAATATGCTGAAGCTCATACGCGTCGCTATTCCGACTGCTTCTCGGGCGAGTGGGCGTGGCGCCAATGTGTAAGCCTCTATTATCCCCTTTGTACTCGCCTCAGCCCCACTAATGCCCAGATCATTCAGAATACCATTGCACGTGAAGATCCGTCCACTCGTGGATCAATGTTCGTTCCCATCATCATCGGGACAGACAAAACCACTGTTTCCGTCGCCACCGGCCATCAGGAGTTTCACCCGGTCTATGGAGGCATCATGAACACAACAAACAGCGTACGACGTGCACACGCTGAGGCGATTGTCCCAATCGCATTTTTGGCCATTCCCAAAGGTACAGTTTTCATTCCCTAGTACTTCACCGTTTGTTGTCGTGTCTGAGCCTGTATTAGGATCACGCGCGGATGATGACGACCCCGAATTTCGACTATTCAAGAAACAGCTCTACCATGCGTCCTTGGCTCGTATTCTCGAGCCGCTCAGGGATGCCATGTCGAAGCCCGTCTTGACCAAATGCTTCGACGGCTACTATCGTGACATCATATACGGGCTTGGCCCTGTCCTCGCCGATTATCCTGAGCAGGTCTTCTTGTCCGGGATCGTCCAAGGGTGGTGCCCGAAGTGAAATACTACCTTAAAATTACTCCTCACTCTATCATCTAACTGACCGGGATTAGATGTCTCGCACTCCCAGAACAGTTGAAGACTAAGGGCCCGCCACGTTTTCAAGAACATACCGAGTGCTTACGGGAAACATACGACTCCAATAGGTTATGGGATGTCTGGGGCGTCAATGACGATGTCACCGTGCGTGTCGCGTCTGTCCTATTCTGTGAATTGAGCTGACATGATGACTGTTATGCATCAGCCCTTCACCGAACACTTCCCACGAGCCGACATTCACGAGCTCCTTACGCCCGACCTCCTTCATCAACTCATCAAGGGCACTTTCAAAGACCACCTCGTCACCTGGGTTGAAGACTACATCAAGGCCAATCACTCGAAAGCCGATGCCGAATCTATTTTGGACGATATTGACCGGAAGTCAGTTTCCGCTTCCTGCCTATGTACATACTACTCTGCGTCTTATGTGAATCATCTTGTAGAATCGCCGCAGCGCCTCCTTTTCCCGGACTTCGCCGTTTTCCTGAAGGTCGAAAGTTCAAGCAATGGACCGGTGATGATTCAAAGGCTTTGATGAAGGTGAGGTTCAGTATTTTGCCCTCAATTACAATTCTCGGTCTCACGTTCCTTGATATAGGTGTACATACCAGCCATCGTCGATCACGTCCCCGCAGAAATGGTTCAGGCCATCGTGGCATTCTCAGATTTCTGCTACATCGCCCGTCGCTCCTCTCACGACACGCGCTCTCTTCGCCTCATGGACATCGCTCTCGCCCGCTTCCACAAACATCGCAACATCTTCCTGTCGGAAGGAATCCGAAACGACTTCGCCCTCCCCCGACAACACTCACTTGTCCACTACACCCACAGCATCAAGTTATTCGGCTCCCCTAACGGTGTCTGTACATCCATCACCGAGTCTAAACACATTCGAGCGGTGAAGGAGCCTTGGCGACATTCAAGCCGGAACGATCCCATCAGTCAGATTCTTCTCCGTAACACTCGCATGATGAAGATCTCGGCCGCTCGCGCTCGTTTCGGACGGAAGGGGATGCTGAGGGGTGATGTGTATCAGGCTGCATTAGCAGAGACTGGGCGAGCCGGAGTGATACTCGATGATGATAATTGGGACGTAGTCCAGAACCGTATGGACGATCATGCACCGGATGAGGATGTATTCGATATTGGTGATGAGCATGCTCCGCTGTCGGTTCGCCTTGCAAAGAAACCACGTACGTCTAATTGGTCTTGCATTGTAATACTTAGCCAACTAACCTCCACAATGCATCAGTCCACAGTCGGACTGTCTCCCAGCTCGCAACCGAACTTTCCGTCTCTGCGGGTACACTCCACACCCAACTTGGCCGTTTCCTCTACGGTCAAATTCACCGCGATCCCGATCTCGATCCCGATGACGTCCCCGTCGACGAACTACCCGGATATGGTCGCTCAATTCAAGTCTTTTCAAGTGCGCATGCGAGGTACTACTCCCCTAGTGAGCTGTCTGGTCCATTTGGTATGCATTCTGAGGTGATACGGAGCCACCCGTCCTGGTTTGGACAATATGAACGGCGGGACACCGTGCTTGTTGGAATTGGTGAGGAGGATGATCCTATGGGAGGCATGACCGTTGCGCGCATCATGCGCTTTTTGCGACTACGTTGTGATGGTTCCGTGTTTCCGTGCGCCCTGGTCGAATGGTTTTTACCCGTTGATGATACCCCCGATCCTTTGACGGGTATGTGGATTGTAAGGCCAGAGACCGTTCACGGGAGTCGGCCTATAGACATTGTTCCCCTTGATTCTATCTTCCGCGCATGCCACCTTATGGGAAGAACATCTTCCGCATTCCTCCCCCGCGATTTCAACTTCTCCTACAGCCATACTGCCTTCCGAACCTTCTATCTCAACAAGTACGCAGATTATCATAGTCACGAATGTTTCCCTTCTTCCGTTGACCTATACTTAGAGGAGCTGGAGCAACTTGAGGCGGAGGAACAATAGCTAGTTGTATTTCAAAGTAGATGTATATATTACTATCAGTTTTCCTCCCTTCACACTACAGTACCGCACGACGCGAGCAGGGATTATCCCTGAGTCCTGACGTCCTGACTGACTTGAGCCTTTTCGCGAGAGTCCGGCTCCGGCTCCGGCTGTTTGTCAGGAGGCGTCAGGAGGCGTCAGGGGCTTCCCGGAAGTACTGATGCGATGTGCCCAAGCGCCGACGCTCTCCGTCCCCAGACGAGTTTTCTCACGAATGACGGCCAATAAATAGCCAAGATTGTTATTCGACTCGCACGTTGAAGTTTGATACTGATACGAGCAATTCGATTCCGTCTTGAAGATGCTCGAGGCCGTATGAGAAATACCGCAATAGAATTATGCGTGAAGGTCTTACCAATATTTCAATCTCTCGCTGCTTTTTGTCTATCGATGATGACCGTCTCTTTGTCCTCAGAGAAAGAGGCTTGATCGGCACTGATACAGAGGACAGATTCCGATTCCGCTTCAATGTCGCCATCCACGCCTCTGTCGCAAGAAGTCGCACAATCGTTGGTCATTTCTGTCGTTCCTGAAGATGCATTCGAGTCACCGAGGGGAGGCATGGTGGCCAGCCTGTACGATGGAACCTCGATTGTTTCCTGGATGAACAGTGACAAAAAATAAGCACATCTACCCTCAAACGAATGCCATAAAGTGGGAACGTACTTGAGTCGTGCGAATGCGAAGACGAACTAGGCCCTTGTGGTGACGGGCCAGCTTAGTTGGACCAAATGGCCCCCGTGAATTCAATCTGTGGGCCCGAGTGCGTCAGAATGAGTAGCACAACAAGTGAGAGATCCGAGACTCACGAGGCTAGGAGTGAATTGGAATATACTGCAAAGAACTGTTGAGATAACAGGTTATGGTGTTGAATGGTGCTAATTACCCACATTTGGAGTAAAATGCGGTTATTGAGGTGAATATAGCTATATAATAAACGATCAAATAAGCCAAGAGCTGTGGGATTTTACGAATATGGAGGATGGCTTACCAGTGTGCGGAGTCACAATAGCCTTATACCAAGACCGAGTAAGTTGTCAGAGGCTCGGGAGGATATAAGACAGGATTTACCGTGACCATGATGCCTACTGCCATGAATCTATCAAATAAATGTTAGAATAGGGATACGAGCATTCAGAAAATTTACATCTTACGCCGTGACCATTCCACTCTCTATTGACAATCAATACAAACATGATAGAACGGCTGATGAGAAGGTTTAGTGTAACATACCAATTGTCCAACGAACTATTGTTGTAATGATATCATTCGTACTGACCAATTGGGTCAGTTGGGTCAAGTAGGATTAGAAAGATATTTACTTTCTGGCTGCCGTACGTCTTTTGTACAAGCAATAACAGAGTGAACTCGTGTTGATGATGTCGATGAGGACGTCCAGGGCGGCGGTCGCAGTGATAGCCCGGTAGAGGTTTTCTGGGTATGGGCCTTTGGCCGTAACCAAAGCATAGGTGCCATAGCACGACCCGACGACTTCAAGTAAAGACCCGGTCCAAGAGAGCACGCTGACCATAATCCAGCCTGAAAGTGCATACAGGCGGAAGGAATAGTATGCCTAGAGCGAAAACATGCAATAATTAGTTGGACCAGGCCAAGATCATAAACTTGGACGCCTACGAACTTGCACAAAAGCAGTAATGAGCCCATGCACCACCAAGGAATAGCTCAAAGCCCAGCAGCCATATTTGATGGCGTCCGCATTGCCATAGAGAGTCACGGTTAAATGGTATTGATGGGCCCAAAACATTACGCTATGGATAGTTTCCAGAATCCTGTCTCCCCTCAGGATCGGAGTGACGGATGTTAATGAAGAGGAAGACACACACCACACCGAGGCGACCTATAAAATATGTGCCCAATCAGCATGAAAGAATGTTGAAGAAGAAATTGTCGACTTACTAGACAGCGGATCAGCGACCCGTCGCCAAATCCGCTTCTCCAATAGACAAAGACTTGAGAACAGCTAATAGCATAGAGGAATGTGGATATTATGATGGATACGTCGAGTCCACCAAGGTCAACAATCTCGACGTTTGAAACGTCGGGGGGCAAGGATTGGTCCATGACGGAGAGCCTGAAGGAGTTGCATTCTGGATCACATACAAACGAGTACTTATGAAACGAGATCCAGAAGGATCTTTTCCCTGGATCAACTCGCTCGTGGCGGAACAGAGATGATATAGGAAAAATGGATTCTAAGACTGGAATGCACAACACAAGTAAAATGATTCGAATCTGGGGTTGTGATATCGTGTGCCCTATTTGGCCAGAGATATATCATTTTCAACTCCTTATTTACTCACATCTTCCTGATGGAGGCTACGAGGCTTTTAGTCGCCTGTAAAGTAATGAGCAGCAGCAAGTCTAGAAAACGCTTTACGATTTCCGAGAGCTTTGAGTCTCAGAACGTCGCATCGATACTCAGTGCACCGCCCTTTGTAGTATCGACCGAGCCGCAAGCCTCTCTTCGGTCTTGAACCGGGATAGAAAGCTGTGCCGCGGGACACACAGCAGGCTGCACATCGCGGTATCATATAGTATCATATGCACTCGTGATCAAGTGATGAAACTCGTGTTAACGAGAGGCCGCGATACAATGGGTAGATGTAATGAATCTTGAAATGCGTCGTTCTTGGCCCTGCGGAATGAAGGTGAGCCCAGAAGCTCTTCAGAGGGGAAGCATTCTAATTTGGCGTCCAATAACGTCAACATGAAAGCGGATCACGAACTCGTTCGCCAACAGCGCTTCACAAAAGGGCTTATATGTTAAGGAAAACTTAGAACTTTTTGCGAGAGCTCATTGGCTGATCGGACAGATCTTCCGCCAACGAGTTCCAAGTAAACTTGAAACATATAGGTCTAAAGTCTTCTTTGTGAGAAGGACGGGAGATGGATGAGATCTGCAGCAGTGATGCCATCGACGTATAACGGGGTATGAACACATGCAAAGGTCAAAGCTTACAACTTACGTGCACATTGCTCGAACTTGGAATTTTGAACTCAGTTCCCCCTATCAAATAAAGCGAATCAAACAGGACAGAGACTTACTGGGAGGATGAGAGTGACTTATTTCATTCTCATCGTCAGTGATGAGCCCACAGGCCCAGTGTTGATCTATAACAGACGAAGCAGGGATCATTGGAGGCCAACAGGTAGATGCTTCTGATGAAAAATATCTGAGGAGCTAGGGTCACTAATTTCGGAAACCATTTAGCTGGAAGAGAGCAAGATAGACACCAAAACGACTGCGAGTGAGTTCCACGGGACATCAAAGAAACACTTGCCAGATATTGATTCATACGCCGTGATTGAGGATCGCTGGGTCGAGTGTCGACGAGCATCGTCCTACAGAGTCCAATAGAACCTTGAACCTTATCGAGTATCAGAATTTGATCTAGTTGAGCTTGTCAGTTGTATTTCAGTTCTTTGTTTTGTACCAGAGAAGGAGGTACTGCCTTTAGTACGCGACTCAGGCATGCGAAAATTTGAATGGAAGCTGGCGGTCGAGATCGGGGTGGGGACGCGTGTGCGGTCTTTGGGTAGAAAGGGAAACATCACGGAACAACGTATCCGACTGGTATAGATTCGGACAAGGGCGAAGCTTGATCTGAGGTGTCCGCTTTTCATTGGTTCAACCCAGGATCGAACTGGGAACCGGCTTACTGAAAATCAGTGACTGGCGGAGCCTTCCGACCGTCTGGTCTGCCTCTGAGCCAAGTCGAAACCAATCAAATCGTAAGTTACCGCTCGAAGAATGAGGTAAGGTTCAATGGTCTAATGGTTATGATTTCTGTCTCACACGTCTCCAGTCAGAGAAGGTGCACAGAAGGTTCCCAGTTCGATCCTGGGTTGAACCAATGAAAAATGCAGTAGCCTCGCATTTTTACACTGGTACTGTCAGTTTGGAAAAGAAAACCCCGACCCCGACCCAGATTCACAAAAGAACTGTGATTGGCAGTGTCAGGAGAGCCACTGCCGAAGTCAATGGGCGTCCATATCCAGCACGAAGTTCCCGCCACACGCCACTCTTTCCACGTCCACAACCTTCGACCATCACCACCACCATCGCCACCACAATCACCACCTCTCTCCATCCCCCTCTACACAGCCCGTCTAATCCCTGTCCTCGATACTCTCAAGCCATGGCGAACACAACCGTCCGCGGCGCTCTCGCCATCCACGGCCAAAACCCCCAGGTAACGTCCCACAACTCCTCTCCAACCGGCTCTATTCGCCTGATTCTCATCCGTCAAGTTTCTAGTCGAGACCGTCATCCGGAATCGCATCTACGAGTCCAGTTTCTGGAAGGAACATTGTTTTGCGCTGACTGGTATGCCTCGTCTCTCGTCTCTTGTCCTCATCCCTTTCGACCTCCTCTGAACCGGGGGTGGACGCGTCTGATGTTGCGTTGCACTTTTGAACCTGATAGCGGAAAGTCTGATCGACAAAGCCCTCGAGATGCGGTACATTGGTGGGGTGTTTGGGAATCAACGACCGACGGAGTTTCTTTGTCTGCTTCTGAAGCTGTTGCAGATCCAGCCGGAGAAGGAGATATTAGTAGAGTATTTGCAGGCGGATGAGTTCAAGTGCGTTTTCATTCTCAACGTCGACCTTGCTTTCCTTCGTCTTAGCTCCTTCACTTCCCCTGCCCCTGCCCGTCGTGGGTTAGTGAAGAGATAGCTGACGCGGTGCTTTGGTGGTCTTATAGGTATCTCAGAGCGTTAGCAGCGATGTACATCCGCATGACCTTCGCAGCCGCAGACGTCTACAGCCTCCTCGAACCCCTCCTCAGAGACTTCCGAAAACTGCGCTACCGAAACATGTGTACGTCCCTTCCTCTCCTTCCTTCCTTCCCCTCCTCTCCTTCCTCCTTCCTCCCTTCTCCCTCCCTTCTCCCTCTTCTCCCTCCCTTCCCCCTCCTCCGCCCCTTTCGCCCCGCACAATCCCCACTAAAATCCACACCTCCCACCCTACTTACAGCGAACTACACAATAACCCACTTCGACTCCTTCATCGACCAACTCCTCACCTCCGAACGCGTCTGCGACATCATCCTCCCCCGCCTGACGAAACGTGACGTCCTCGAAGAACTAGGCGAGATCGGGCCGCGGAAGTCTTTGTTGCTTGATGCTATGGAGGGTAAAGAACGTAGTGTCAGTCGTAGTCGGTCGAGATCACGTAGTCGGTCGAGATCACGTAGTCGGTCGAGATCACGTAGTCGGTCGAGGTCGAAGTCGAGATCAAGTAGTCGGGGCAGAAGGGACGAGGGCGAGGAGGGTGAAGAGGGCGAGGTTGGAATTGAGAGGAGAGGGAGGAGTCCCAGTAGGAGTGATAGGACGGGGACGCAGACGCCGTCGGAGGTGGGGTCGAGGTATGTGTCGAGGAGTCGGTCGGGGTCGAGGTTTAGGAGTAGGAGTAGGAGTATTTCGCCGGATAGGATGGATACGGCTACGTAGCGTGCAATCTAAGTCATGTATACCTTTTTCTTAAGCTTCAGATCCTTGCTGTACGCTTCCCTACTTCTTGGTGTCCACTCTGCATCGTCACCTACGAGCCGTCTTGTCTACACCGTGTCTGCGTTCACCCGCAATGTATCTGGGGGTGTATGTATCATGCAACCAGTCGTACGTCTACTCTAACTAGACTGTAGACAACCGCAACAACAACAACAACGAAGAACACGTCCGTCTAAGTATTCGAAGCCATCTTCAACGTGCTCTTCGAAGGCTTATCGAACTCCTGCTCCTTAAACACCAACAACTGCTTCGAAAGTTCTTTCCACCGTTCCTCCACGAGCGGGTTCTTCGTGATGCCTTCTGGAGAGAGATATCCGCGGTTGCGCCAGTCGGTGTACCATGCTATTCGTCGCAGGGTGGGCATCAGTGGTCGCTCATCATTCCTAGCGAAAAGAAAAGAAAGGGAACGGAACGGAAGGGAAGGAAAGGAAGGAAGGGAAGGCAAGGAAGGGAAGACAGGCAAAGGAGAGAAGAAACGCACTAATATCCTTCCTAAGCGTCGGCGCCGCCGACGTCCTATCCGTCTTACCCTTAAGACAGTCGAACAACGAAACCTGGTTGTAATACTTGCAGAACACAGAACCGCCGGCTGCTTCGATGGCTTTGATGGCGGATTTGGAGGCGCGGGAGGGGGTTACGTGGATTGGGACTTTGAGCTGTTCGGCGCCCTGTGGGAGTTGAAGTTGGACACGAGTGGATGGATGAACGGGATGGATGAACGGGATGGATGAACGGGATGGGATGGTAGTATGGAGGTGTCGTCGACGTCGGTGTCACGGTTTGTTTATAAGTACGAATAACAATTGTGAGTACGTGGTGCAGAGCAGAGGAAGGGCTATGTAGAAAAGGACGTACATCCCCAAGAATCTTCACCCCGTCATGCGCATCATGTATACATCCACTCTCCACCAAATCTCTCGCCGTAATCGGGTTCTCAGGCGTCGAGCTCAACCGTCCCTGCAGCACCCAAAACGCGATCCTATCCAAATTAACCGGCGCCCATGTCTTGCCCGTCCTTCACGTCCCACCCCACCACCGAACACGTCCCACCACCGAACACGTCCCACCACCGCACACCAGACACTGTGAGCCCACAAACAACGACAGAATGTGAATGAGAATGTGAGTGTGATGAAGAACGCACTGGTTGAAGAACCCCCTCTTCGGGAAAAGCTTCGAGATGGTAGTCTGACCACCTTCGAAACCAGCCTTGGGTTTCCCGTTCCCCGCGCGTGCTTTTTGACCTTTGTGGCCTCGTCCGGAGGTCTTACCGAGACCTGAGCTGCGACCGCGACCTACGCGTTTTTGCTATACACACACAACCACATACGGATAACGAAACGGGCCAGGAGTAGAACAGAATAGAGTCAGCACGATGAACAAGGACGCGAAGGAGTTGTAGGAAGGGAAGAGGGAGGGGGAGGGGTGCTGACGGAGTGTTGCGAGCCTGGGGCAGGGCTGAGGTTGAAGAGGTGGACTTTGCCAGTCGAGGATTTGAATCGGGCGGCTGACATCGTCCACGGCGATGAGCAGAGACTCAGAGAACGAAAGAGGTGGTTGAGTGTAGAGCTGCTGCAGACTGTTCAGTTAACGTCGGAGGCGAGTGCCACAAGTTGCCTTTTTCGGCTCACAAGGAATTCTGTGGTGGTGTGGCGAGCGACTTGCACTCAACCGTGATCACGCCAATGGGCTTCGAGTAGGCTGGTGCATTTCTTCAAACATACCTGCTATGCTTATATTCTGATATCCATGGCTCTATATCCTAGAGCATAAACTTCTCAATGGACTCAGAAATGCCGCCCTTTCGTCCGCTCCTCGCCATCTGTGGCACCACCGGCGTAGGCAAATCCAAACTCGCCGTCGAACTCGCTCTCCTCCTCTCCTCCTCCTCCTCCAATTCCACTTCACCTCATCCGCAACTCCCACACGGCTGGAACGGAGCCCGAGTGATCAATGCAGACTCTATGCAAGTCTACGCCGGAATGGACATCATCACGAATAAGATCCCGCTGCAGGAGCAGAAGGGCGTGGAGCATGTGTTGATGGGGTTTAAGAAGCCTGGGGAACAGTATGTGGTGGGCGAGTGGGTGAAGGATGCGATGAGAGAAGTATGTAGGTTTCTTATTTCTTGGGTCTTCACGACTCGAGAGTCGATGGTTGTGGCATTGAACAAGATGTGTGTGTGGCGTAGATCGAGGAAACGCACAGGAGGAAGCAAGTCCCTATCATCGTTGGCGGAACTTCGTACTGGATCCAACATCTTCTGTTCCCAAACAGACTTTCGAAGGATCCTTCGTCCTCCTCGCCGTCCTCATCCCGTCCATCCTCGCCTACCTCCTCATCTGAACCTCCGCCACTCCACTCATCAACCACCGGCACACCCTCCCCCGCCCTCCTCTCAGCCACATCCTCCCTCTCTCCCCCTCTCCTCTCCCTATGGTCCTCCCTCCCCTCCACACCACCCTCCGCAACCTCCGACCCCGACGCAGCATACACACTCCACACACTCCTCGCCGCCCTGGACCCCGCCGTCGCAAGTCGTTGGCATTGGAGGGACACGAGGAAGGTATTAAGGAATCTTGTTATCATGAAAGAAACGGGAAGGAGGCCTAGTGAGATTATTGAGGAACAGTCGAGGGAGGGCGCGAGACCTAGGTCTGTGTTTGATTCGGTTTGGGTTCGCTTGTACTTATTGTTTGAGTTGACGTTGACGTTGAGTTTGTTGAGATCAGGTATGATACGCTGTGCTTTTGGTTATACGCAGATCCGAAGTCTTTGAACCCACGGCTGGATGAACGGGTGGATGAGATGCTCGCGGTGCGTGTTTATTCCTTTACCTTTGAGCTCACATTCCCAGTGGTTCATTGTCTTTCTTTTTTGGTGGATAGCAAGGCCTCATGAAAGAGATTGTCGAAATGCGGGAAATAGCATCCGACGGTCGCAGCTCCATCTCATCATCATCGCCAGGAACAGCAGCCTCATCCTCTGCCGGTGAGCCACCGCCACCAGAAGGGGAAGTTTCAGGCTCAGGCCCTTCGTCGGGCCCAGAGAAAGACTATACGCTTGGTATATATCAATCCATAGGTACGCTCCATCCCTCCGCCAATCCCATCTCTTGCTCGCTCACCTCACACCGCTCCAATGAACTCAACCCGTATCTACTCCCCAGGCTTCCGCGAATTCGACACCTACCTCAACATCCACCCTCTCCCCTCCACCTCTCCTCTTCCCTCCTCCTCCTCCTCCTCCTCCTCCAATAACATCAGTGGTAAGAACGCGGACCCAGACTTCGACGTCGCAGTCGAAGAAATGAAACTTTCTACGCGCAAGTATGCGAAGAGACAGGTTTCGTGGATCAGGAATAAATTGTTGCCTGCTGTTTTTGCGGCTGGGGACGATGGGGGAGGAGCGAATTGTGGTGGAGAGGCTGATGATGGTGGCGGAGAGGCTGATGAAGGAGAGAGGCGGGTGCAGATGCGGGCATATGTGCTTGATGCGACTGGTACGCTATTCGTCCCTGACATTCATAATTCTACCCCAATATCTGACCAAACTATGAACGCGTACATACATACAGACGTCGACGAGAAATGGACGCCCAACGTTCTCGATACAGCCAGCAACATCATGCACAGTACGTTTCCCTTCCTTTCCTTTCCTTTCACCTTCCTCTGCATTTTTCTTATCGTTCTTCTCCTTCCTCTCACCACACCACTCATATCATTCACCCAATCCAGCCTTCCTCGCAGAAAAATATACCTCCCTCCCCGATCCAGTCTCCCTCTCCGAGACTGCAGCGAGACTTCTTGCAGTAGCTCATAAACCTACGAAGTAAGCCCACACGTCCCAGTTCCCTCTTCTCCCCAACTCCCTTCATTAACGCAAACTCCTCTCCCTTCTTCCCCCCTCCCCCCCCCTCCTCCCTCCCCCCTCCGCTGACACCATCACACAAACACACACAAACAAACACCCACCCAGCCCAACCTCCCTCCTCACCGCCCATCAAAAACACACCTGCCCAACCTGCACCCTCTCTCCCTCCCGCCCCATCATGATCGAGTCCGGAAAAGAATGGGATGTTCATGTGCGGACGAGGATTCATAGGCGGTTGGAGGAGAGGGCGAAGGGGGGGTTGAGTGGGAAGGAGAGGTGGGAGGGTGAGAAGGTTAGGAGGGAGGCGGAGGGGATGGGGATGGGGATGGGGATGGGAGTGGGGGAGAAGGAGGGGGGAGAGGGGAGTGGGGCGGAGAAGGTTAACGAGGACGGGAAGGAGGAGGAGGAGGAGGCGAAGAGGAAGGACATGGAGGAGAACGAGAAGGAGGGGAGTGATGCTGCGAAAATCAACGAAGGGGAGACGGAGGAGGACAAGGCGAAGAAGGAGGTGCAGAAAGAAAAAGCGGAGAAGAAGGCGGAAAGGGAAGAGAGACGAAAGAGACTGGAAGCGTCGAACGTGAAATTGGCGAGGTTGAGGGTGAAGATGGAGCAGAAGAAGGCAGAGTATGAAGCTCAGAAGTTGGTGGTGGCGGAGGCGCGGGCAGCGGTGGAGAGGGAGGAGAAGGAGTTGAAGGAGTTGAGGGCGCGGGCGGAGCTGGAGAGGGAGGTGAAGGAGGCGAAGAGGATCGTGGGATGGCGGAGGGAAGATGTTGAGATCTTGCGGAGATTGGGTTATAATGGGTGATGCGTGAATATACTGTCCAACCAATCTTGCGGTGGCTTCTTGATGATATCTTGGGGCATAATCTGGCTGGGTATGTACTCGAGCATGTTTCGTTGTGGAACTGCAAAAATATATCGCTCGCCACACGCCACAAAGTGCCCACCGGGAATCCCCGATATATAACCTTTCGATGCGCCCAATTTGGACTCGTCAAACCTTGTCCCCGTACAGATCTGACGACACCCGGCTTCGCAATGCCGCTCTGAGATCCTTGTGCCCATTTCTCTGCTGAAACCCGCTCACCGCAGCCTTTTCGTTCTTGCACTTGGCCTGGTCAAGTCTGGACGATCCTGGTCTTGCCCTCTTCCGAAAAGCGACTGAGCCGGCGAGCACCTCGATACTTACAGCAGTGCTCCAATAGAACGCGTAATATTTGTTGTATTACTCGATCCATCACTCCGCCTGAGCGTGCGCAGTGAATTGCTGCTGTGCGAATGTCCTCATGGAGAACTTCTGACCTGCCCATCGAGCGCGATGACGCCACCCTCATCATCCATTCCCATCTTCGGCCCTCGCAGTGGCGCCGGATTGCGTGGCCCCTATTACAGTGCAGTACCACAACCTCATGGCTGAGGGCATATATAAGCCTCGCCTCGTCCAGATGCGTCTCCCCATCCTTGAGCAGTCCGACCCCCATCATGCTCGTCTCTGCCCTCGCGCCTCTTCTGACCGCAGGCTTCGCGGCAGCGTTCGTCCTGCCCGAGTCGCTCCGTCTCAACAAAATCGATATCGACTCGTTTTATCCAGAGTCGTTGAAGGATGTTGCGAGTGCTGTTGAGAATGTTGAGCATATCGTTGATGCGTTGACTCATCCGTTCACTCCCGACCCCGAGGACAAGACGGTGTACGAGCTCATTGCTGCGAACCCAGAGTCAGTCTTTTTTGTGTGTCAAATCGCGTTGATATAACTTACCGTATGCTCGATTCAGGTTCTCTAAACTCCTCAAGGTCATCGACTTTGCCGGCGAGCCGATTGTTGACTTGTTGAACAGCACTGACGCAAAGTAAGCTGCCAGCCCCTATTTCTCTCAACAGACCTGGAAAGCGAGCTCAACCTTACTCTATTCCTCCCAGCTTCACTGTCTTCGCGGTTCCCAATTCAGGTCTCCGTCACCCAGGTCATGATGAGGATCTCGCTGCAGGTCTAATGTCCGGTGACGCCGAATACGACCTCGTCGACATCTCCAATGCCGTCGAAGGCCTTGAGGCACAGGACGACGACGACGACGACCACAAGAAAGAGAGGCGAGAATTCTTCAAGAAACTCGCACAGGCCGTTTTGCTCTACCACGTCGTCCCCGAGCGCGCTTTCACCTCGAGCGAACTCGCGGTCAATACCACCTTTGCGACCAAGTTGAGCTTGCCGGACGATTCGTTCAAGGGGGAGCCGCTTCGTGTTCGTGTCGCGGCGACGCCTCCGTTTAAGACGCTTGTTGTGAACTTCTATGCGAAGGTAATCAAGTCGAATGTTTATGCTAGCAATGGTATGTTGTACACGGTGGATGTGCGGGACCATTCAGAACTGACGTCTTTTATTAATTTGCAGGAATTGTGCATGTCATCAATCACCCGTTGTTCCCACCTCCTTCCATCTTCCAAGAGTTATTCCAACTTCCCTCCACGTTCTCTATCGCCGTAAGCTGCCTTCCTACCGTCTTGCCTTATCTCGACTTCGCGAAGACTTACACCCATCTTGATGTAGTCTACTGCCCTCCAACGCACCAACCTCCATAACTTTGTGGAATGGCGTTACGAGCCCTCGGAAGACAAGGATGGTGAAGGCTCCGTCAAAGGCAACCCCGCCGTCACTTTTTTCGCCCCAGACCACTCGGCGTTCAAGAGGTTGCCGACAAAGCTCGCCCTTTTCTTGTTCTCGCCGTTCGGAGAGCACGTGTTGAAGAAGGTTCTGGCATACCACATCGTGCCAAACTACGTTTTGCATACCGGTCAGTTTATATTGTTTCGTAGGAGTTGCTAAGCAAGTTGCTGATGGGTGGTGGTGTAGATTATGCGTTCAACGTCACGACTGGCGAGGAAGTCATCTTCGGTCCTCCCAAAGACTCGGAAGACACTTCCACTAACTGGCTCCAATCCCTCTACCCCGCATCCGAGTCTTCCTCTTCCTCTTCTTCGCACCCCCCTCACCCCCCTCCCCACGCACCCCCCACCTACTACTCCTTCAACATCCACCCCGGCACCCTCCTCGGCTCCAACCACACCCTCGACATCTCCGTGACTAAACGCGTGCTCAAGTCTCCACTCCCAGGCCACGGACACCCAGACACGTATTTGACGCACTTCGAGGTGGATGGGGAGAGGGTCGTGGTGAGCGATGGGCCGGCGCGGAATGGTGCCGTTCATGCGATTGGGAAGGTTTTGGACCCGAGGGGGAGGAAGCATGGGCGTCACTGTGGGCACGAGGCTGTGTATGAGCAGGAGGAGTATAATTGGGAGGATTGGGAGGAGTGGTTGCCGGCGTGGGCTGCTGGGGTGGAGTTTTGAGTGGGTTTATGATGCTAATGCTAACGCTTGAGCTCGTTCTGCTTGCTACATAAGTAGTACATAGAACGGATTCGCGCCCAGAAGTCTTCTCGTGTATTGTATTATCAACTTTGTTCTCCATGTTTTCTTTTGCACTCTGTATAATACAACTTTGTCAATATGTGGTTACTAGTGTAGAGTTCGGTGTGAAAAAAGCGAAAGCCTGTCCCTCCAACGAGCACAAGTGTAGTTGAGTGTAGCTGTATCCATTACCACGCCACACCTCGCCACACATGCCCCTGTCAGAAGCGCCGGTTGTTTCCGAGCCCGGCGTTACAGCGTTCTTTGACGGACTTCAACATGGACATTCCTGGGGGTTCTCATTCGACAAGTTCTATCTGTAGACAGAACCACGCACCCAGAAAGGGCGAGTAGTTCGGAGAGCATATATCTGCTGTACACCGTAAGTCCTCTCGCAGCTCGATAATTATCTCACAATCGTCGTGTTCGACGGAACTCATTCCTGTCTTGACTCTTCACCAATGCTCAGACGACGTCTGAGTCCTGCCCGTATCGACAATCCCTGGGTCCGCTGCTATCTAGAATCAAACTCTACCTATGGAGAACCTTACCCCAACCCCCACTCGGAGCTCCATCCCCTCAGACTTCTCCAATAAAACCCATCCCAACCATCCCAGTGTCTTCCAGCGCCTACGCATCCGAGACGTCTCGGACGCGTTCGTGGAGGGTTGTTTGGCTGATTTCGAGCGGGTGAATGGAGGGTGGATTGATGAGCTTGTTGAGCTTGAGTTGAGGTCGTCGATGGGTGTGAATGGTGACAGGCCCGGGGGTAGGAATAATGAGATGGGGATGCGTGGGCCTTTGGTGGGTCGTTCGATACTATGAGCTTATTGACGTGGAGACGCTGAATGTTGATAATTGTGCAGATGAACATCTTGAACTATATTGTCAACTTCCCAGACCCTTCCGATTCCGATTCCGATCCTCACCCCCGCAAGATCGTAGACGAACAAGCTTTATACCCCGACTCGACCACCTTTGACTTCGGTTTCCCAGCGATCAAGAAACCCGACTTCTCTATCTTATCTCGCAACGCGTCACCATCCAACCCGATTTCTCCAGAGAACTCCTGGCGTCTGCGAGACATGTTCATCGAGCTCAAGGCCTCGCGTGAACAGGGTCCAGGACTCGATTTCCCGAACAGCGAAAGCATAGTGTGGCAGTCCGCCAATTTCGCTCGTCTCCACATGTCCGCCCGCCCTTTCTCCCTATTCTCCATCGGCCTCATGATCCCCGGCTCGTCCTTCTCCGCCGGGATCTTCGATCGCGATGGTGTCACCGTCTCGCCTGTTCATCCGTTGTGGGATCCTAATACGCGTCAATTGGATGATGAAGGCATTCGTGTGTTCATTAGGCTCATTCGTAGCGTTGCTTGCGTCCTTTCGGATGAGGAGATAGGCCACGACCCGACTGTGACAGAGATCAAGCTCACCGACGGATCTCCTGCGTATACCTGCTCCCTTGGCGGCTCTGAATCGGAAGAAGATGATATCAATACCCGCCGCTGGTGTACCATCGGGCCTCCATTCTGGCGCTCTGTGTCGTATACGGGTCGGGGGACGCAGGTATGGGGCGTTCGGGAATATAGGGATGGAAAGCTCGTTGGGCCTGAGATGGTCATGAAGACCGCTTGGCGTACGATCAGGCGAACGACAGAGGCTGAGATCTATGGATTGGTCGAAGGAACACATCCCGGTCTTGTCGAATTCGTCGATGGGGGGGATGTGGCGTTTCCAGGCCAGCCTTCGAAGCCCATCACGGTCTATGGTCTGCGCGGCTACGAACCAGATGAGGACGGGACCGAGAGAGTTCTTCATCGGTTGGTGTTGAAGACGGTTGGTCGGCCGCTGTGGGAGTATGGAGATGATTTGGAGCTTGTTAGAGCTGTGAGGGCCGCGGTGCTCGGTGCGTATAACTTATAACCATTGCTCTGGTATGAACGTTATAAACTCATTCTGTTTCTATGAATATAGCGCATAAGTTTCTTTATGAACAGGGTATCCTCCATTGTGATGTTTCGGCTGGAAATGTATGTCATTCTTCGTTCTTACCCCCCTATGACTGTGGTTTTGAACTAATCTGTTTGGCTAGGTTCTGCTCAATAAGTCTGCGTCTATGTCCCATTCGGGATCCGAGGGCTTCCTCACAGACCTAGAACTGGCACATCTCGATGTTGCCGTCGTCGCACGGGCACGCAATACTGTCCAAGACGCCGGACCCGTCATCAGGAGCAGGGAGGGAGGATGCGCCGCACTACACTCGGAGAAGACAAGAAGAACGCGCAAGGACTTTAGTGATAGTCAAGTGGAGCATGCAGATGCGATGACGGCGAGTCTTCTCTACTCCTGCGTGCCGTTTACTGTGTATGAATGCTTACCCTTTCGTTTGTCGCTTCGTGTGTAGGGTACGGCTCAGTTCATAGCGCTGGAGCTTCTGTCTCCACCGAGGACAGAAGACGGCGAGAGGGAGACGCATGGGCCACACCACGACCTGGAATCCTTCCTCTACGTTCTGTCGTATGCAGTCATGAAACGCACCGACGAAATCTTCACTAGGGACCCCTCGCTGCTCGCAGACAAAACCAACAAATTCCAAAAAATCAAATGGGACGACTGGGTCAACAAAGCATTCGGCCATTCGACCCCCAAGCGCATACGAGACTCTCATGTGCAGCTCGCCCCGCTCAGTTGGTTTCACAGGGCCGCAGACGCATCGCTTTCGGTGTGCGTGAGGAGGGTTGTGTCGAGAGAGATGTATGACCTTTTGTTTGAGGCGAGGAAGTTGGTCGCGCGTCAGGTTAAGTGGTGGAGAGATTTTGAGGAGGAGGGGGAAGAGCGTATCAGTTATGATGCTGTGTTGAATATTCTTGATAAGGCTGCGGCGGACATGGGATATAAGGAAGGGTCTGGGTCTGAGGAGGATTTGGAGGGGGCTTGAAACCTAAACAAGGTCGGCGGGCAGTGAGGTGAATAGTCTTTCATATCCGGTCAACCCTCTTGCCTTTTGAGTTTCGTAGGCTGATCTCTTTCGTTGTGAGTAGTGATATTACCATTGGGTTGGTCTTTTGAAGCCATGGCTTTCACACATCCTTCCACGAACGTCGGTTCATCCACATTTGACTATCTCGCCTAGTCCGAATCATAGCAAATCCCATTGTTCGAATGATATGACCTAGAGAGCTTCTGCATGGGGTACGCTCATTTTCTGTCATATGGGCGCACCAGTTGTTGACGATATCTTTGTATGGGGTTTGTAGGCGAGCAACTAGTGAGCATTGACATCTGCCAGCGTTACACCTCAACACTGTCCACGAACCCCCAGGCTCCTCTCAAAGTACGTTCAGCCCTTCTCTTTCCACTCAGATTACGACCAACCGCGCTGACGAACGCTGCCCCTACCAGACTTGCGTCTTCTTCCACAAAGCGCACCTCCTCTCCGGTCAAGTCCACCCGAAACCCGAGTTGTATTCCGATTTCGCCTGGCTCATGAAAGGGGAGATCGAAAAGCGGGTAGAAGCAGAAGCTAAGTATTAGACGGGCGTGAAGGATATGTTGTCCGAAATCTAGAGCCTGTTCGTTAGCCGTACATCGTCTTTTACATATCGCTATTCCTCCCCTTTCCCATCTAATACAGTGCAATAGTGTCGTTCCCTCCATGAACTCGGCGACTGCTTGAAAGAACTGTCTGAGAAGGATAGCGGGGTACTCAGTCCTTTGCTCTCCCTGACGTCGATGCTGATGGAGCAATGTTCCCCTCCACGAACTTGGTCCATACATCACCTCCATTTCGACATGAGCACGAGTTCGCTCTTTGTCCTGATTCAAGTTATCATATCAAATACCCCCCTTCAATGCCCCTGTCGGTTTACGAAGTAATCGTGCATTCATGGCCACAAATGCGCTTTGTCCGTGCCAACTTACAATGCCGCCACAGCACAAAGGTTGGCACGGAGGCATGGCAACCCCAAGCCATTTACGAACAAGTATATAAGGGCCTCGCGGACACGCTCAAGCCAGTCTGGCACCACTCCCATCCTTTTCCATCTGCTGCTCTCTCCCTTTTCTCCCTCCTCTCAACAAGACGAGACATTCCAGACAGCGCCACACGCCACACCGGAGTTCGGACATCACGAGACATCACGACACTCGCAATTGGCAATTGGACACATCGCTCGCATGGTTTCCACGCGATGCCGGCGGCAAACCTATCGATCCGGCGGAACGTGATTTCCGACGCTCGCCGATTGTAATGTTCAACTTCTCTGTGCTACGGGCAAGCCACTGGACTGTGCGTATTCGTGCGTCCCCTCTAGATTATCTATGTTGTTTTGTTCTATGCTGGTGGGAGCGCTATACCCGAAGTGCGACGGGCTGAGAGGACTTGGTGGGGGCTGTGGAGCGGCTGTGGGCCTAGCGCGAGCCGCGTCACTGGAAAACGCATTGTTTTCCCGATTGGGACACCCTCTTGAGCTTGCCTTTTCCTGTGCGTTATTCTGTACCCGCATCGCTCCGCCGCGGGTATATCTAATCCATTTAATTTGATCTTGAAGCTTCCATTCCGTATCCCGTGATCCACCTCGCACCATCTAGACTTTTCTGACACAAGCCCACACGATCCCGCCGCGCGCTTCTTTTTGCGTTTATTCACACCAGAGGCCGAATTGGGACGTCCTGTTCAGCCACCCAATGACTAGAAGGCGACGGAATGCGATACCGCCCTGCCTCGAGGCGGCCGGCTACTGTTCGTTTCTAAGGCTTTCGTTTTTCCGGTTCTTATTTCCGGTATCTTGTTTGGTTTTCCGGACTCTGGAAAGGTATATAAGGGGCCCCTCCGAACAGAACTGGGGGGCAGGCATTGGTTGACTCTCGGCCACTTGCATCCCCCCACATTTTCTCTTCCCTCTTTTCCCTCCGCACTCCCGAGCTCGCTCGCTGTCGTCGACGATGCCCACGACGATGTCTCCGATATTGGTGAGTCCTCCCTTGCTCGTCGTCGTCGTCGTCGTCGTACCCTTCGCTCGTCGCTGATGCTTTTCGCTCTTTGCCACGTCAGCATTGTCGTCGCCAACATCGTCGCCAACCTCATCGACGACAACATCGCCGACCCTCCTCCTTCTCAGTTGCGCCCCCTTCTCTCTGTCATTGTCGTCATCGTCATCGTTGCTGACCACCCTCCTTGTCCCCATCTGCAGAATCATCGCCGTCGTCGACGACCCTCCCACTTGCAGGTGCGCACCCATCCTCTCTATCATCGCCATCATCATCGCTGACTCGCCTATCTTTTTTCGACGATCAGGTACATGCATCTATCGAGAGATCAGGTGCGTTTCCTTTTTGGGATGGTCGTCCGAGCTAGTATATATTGGCTTGGTCGTTTTATCGCTCCATCTTTTCTTCGTCCCCCACCTCGCTTATCTTCCATCCCCGTCGTTTATCGTCCCATCGCTCTCCACCCTCTTCCACCATCGACCTTATCTACCTTCATCTACCTTCGTCTACCTTCACCCACCTTCGTCTACCTTCACCCACCTTCGTCTACCTTCACCCACCTTCGTCTACCTTCACCCACCTTCGTCTACCTTCACCCACCTTCGTCTACCTTCACCCATCCTCACTGACCTTCGCCTATCCTCATCGACCCTTACCTACACTCACCAACCCTCACCTATCCTCGTCCACACTCACCCACCCTCACCCATCCTCACCCACACCAACCCTCGCCCTCTTACTCAGTATGTGCGTCACTAACCTGTGTGATCTCTGGCGACACTCTTGGACTTTGGCGACACCCTCGATTTTAGACGACCCTCCTTTGTTTCTTTCCTTATCTTTTCTTCCTCTTTTCTTCGTCGTTAGTCTCCCCACACACCCACCCTTCGTCATCGACCTTCGCCTCGACTCTTCCGTACTATACCCTTCCTTCCTTCTCTTTCACCTTCCACCTCGTCTCACTCTGTCTCTTGGTTCGTAAGTAGTCTCTCATCTATGGCGACACTCCTCTGCTTTGGCGACACCCTCAGCTTAGGCGACTTCTACCTTCCCTCGTCCTTCCTTCCGTCTGACCAACTCATCGCTACTTATACTCCCTCCCTCCCTCATACTATATAGGTACGTTGTCTCTTCACTTGTGCTACACTCGGCTGGGATACACTCGGGCTTAGGCGACTTCGCTTTTCGCTTTCCTCTCCCTCCCCTCTTCTCCTTCCTCCTCTATCATCGACTCGAACATAAGTTAAGGTCTCACTTGGTCTAAGGTCTAGGTCTAGATATATTGCGTGATCTTAAGGTATGTATAGTAGTAGATAATATATTGTGTGATCCTCTTCAGGTGTATCATATGTAAGAGCTTGGTCCTGGTCTTAGTCTCGGTCTCAATCTAGGCAACATCCACCGCCCACCCATTCCTCCCTTGTCTTGCGTGTCTGTCTGAATTCAAGGTAAGTCCCCCTGGGAGAGCGTCGACCTTGTCGTGGTCCAGGGGCTCAGTACCTCTTCGGGGGGAAGCCAACAGACGCTCACAAGGTGCGCTTCTTTTCTATCCTGTGTCGCTGATTTTCTCTAGAGCCTCTTACAGGAGTTCTGCCCGACACGAAACTCAGGCAGCTCCGCGGGGAACATGTATTGATCTGTGAGTTTTTCCTTTCGATACACCTATCCTAGTGACTACGCTGACTTCCTCCTCAGTTTCCCTACAGGTGTGTGATTGTGTGAATGTAAGAGATTGGCATCGACCTGCCTTGACAGCAGCGCCCTCGACGCGACCTCGACACCGGGCCCCAAGAGCTTCAAAACCGGTCCCCTTGGCAGAGTGTCGACCTTGTCGTGGTCAAGGGGCTTAGTACCTCTTCGGAGGGAAGCCAACAGACGCTCACAAGGTACGTCTCTTTCTTTATATTATCCCACTGATTTTTTTTAGATTGTTTTATAGGCGTGTCGCGTTGTGGTGAGTCTCCGTTATTTTGTCTCGTTCGCGTAGATTTGTCTTACTGATGCATTATGTTTAGTTTTTGTTAAAGGTGCGTGAGTGTGAGTGTGAGTAAAGGTACGTGCGGCGCTCTGCTTGCGAAAGCAGCATCGTCCTTCCCCTTGGCAGAGCGTCGACCTTGTCGTGGTCAGGGGGCTCAGTACCTCCTCGGAGGGAAGCTAACAGACGCTCGGAAGGTAGGTCTCTCTTCGTTCTATGTCGCTGATTTTATAGATTCTTTTAGAGCAGTGACGTTCGACACGAAACTCAAGATTTCCACGAGGAATATCTATTGATCAGTGAGTCATCCATTCCAATGCGCGCATACTCATGACCACGCTAACTTCCTCCTCAGTTTTGCTGCAGCTGTGTGACTGTGTGAATGTGAGAGAACGGCGTCGACCTGCCTTCAACAGCAGCGCCCGCGACATAATTTCGACACCGGGCCCCAAGAGCTTCAAGACCGGTCCCCTGGTAGAGCGTCGACCTTGTCGTGGTCCAGGGGCTCAGTACCTCTTCGGAGGGAAGCCAACAGATGCTCGTGCGGTAGGTATGCTAACCGGTGAGTTCCTCTCCCAATCTCGTTCACCAATATCTTTTACTAAAATTCTGCGCAGTTTTATTTCAGGGCCGTGCGTTGCAGTAAGCTCAAGACGATCGACGTCCTGATGTTCAACTCTCGGGCCCGACGACTCCGATCAAGCACGACATCAACAGGCGGTGGTCTCTGGGGCGCCTTGGGCTGCGCCTCTGGGTCTGCTGGGTCTCTAGGTGTGTTGTGTCTCTTCGTCTACTGAGTCTTTTCGTCTGCTTCATCTCTTCGTCTGTTTGTCCTCTTCCTTTGCTAGGTCCCTTAGGCTTGCTTTCTAGGCTGTTGGGTCTCGTGGGCTTGCGCTCTAGGTCTCTAGGTTTCTTGGCTTGTGCTGGTCTTGCTAGCGCTAGGCGACATCGACATCGACATCGCCCACGACCGGGCTCAAGCACGACATCGACATCGCCCACGACCGGGCTCAAGCACGACTTCAACATCGCCCACGACCGGGCTCAAGCACGACTTCAACATCGACCTCACGACCGAGCTCAAGCACGACGTCGACACCGAGCTCCAACGAGCTTCAAGACCGGTCCCCTGGGATAGCGTCGACCTTGTCGTGGTCCAGGGGCTCTAGTACCTCGGAGTCCGATCCTCCGAGGGAAGCCAACAGACGCTACTAACAGGTGAGTGCGTTCGTGCTTCAATCCACTTGTCTTTTCTGAGGCATTTCGTGCAGATTTGTTTCAGGTTCGGCATTGCGGTAAGCTCAAGACGACCGACGCTCCGATCACAACAATCTAGCACGACCGTGACGATGAGTCCGGCCGACGACTCCAATCAAGTACGATATCACCGGGCGGCGGGATCTGGGGTATCTTGGGCAGGGTATCTTGTGCTGGGTCCATAGGTCTGTTGTTTCTTTGGGTCTGTGGTCTCTCTTCGTCTGCTGGGTCTTTTCGTCTGCTGGGTCTCTTCGTCTGCTGGATATCGTGGGCTTGGGCCGGTCTTGCTAGGGCTAGGCGACATCGACATCGACCTCACGACCGAGCCTAAGCACGACATCAACATCGCCCACGACCGGGCTCAAGCACGACGTCGACATCTCACGACCGAGCTCAAGCACGACGTCGACACCGAGCTCCAACGAGCTTCAAGACCGGTCCCCTGGGATAGCGTCGACCTTGCCGTGGTCCAGGGGCTCAGTACCTCAGAGTCCGATCCTCTGAGGGAAGCCAACAGACGCTTATTGACAGGTGAGTGGGCTCGCGCTGTTTTGATTCACTTTTTTTTTCTGATTCGTTCTGCGCAGTTTTATTTCAGGTCCGGCATTGTGGTAAGCTCAAGACGGCCGACGCTCCGACCGCAACAATCGAGCACGACAGCGAGTTTGGCCGACGACTTCCATCCAGCACGACGTCAACACCTGGCGGCGGGGTCTGGGGCATCTTGGGCTGTGTCTCTGGGTCTGTTGTTTCTTTGGGTCTGCTAACTTATATCTCTTCGTTTGCTGGGTCTCGTTGGTTTGTATTTCAGGCTGCTGGGCTTTGTCGGCTTCGTTTCTAGGCTACTGTGCTGGGGTTGGTCCTGCTAGAGCTAGGCGACCTCGACCTCGACCTCGACCTCGACCTCGACCTCGACCTCACGAGCGAGCTCAAGCACGACATCTACAACGCTCACGACGGAGCTCAAGCACGACTTCAACATCGACCTCACGACCGAGCTCAAGCACGACGTCGACACCGAGCTCCAACGGGCTTCAAGGCCGGTCCCCTGGTATAGCGTCGACCTTGTCGTGGTCCAGGGGCTCTAGTACCTCAGAGTCCGATCCTCTGAGGGAAGCCAACAGACGCTACTAACAGGTAAGTGTGTCATCAGAACTTCGATCATCATGTACTTTCTGACGCATCTCGTGTAGTTTTTTTTCTTCTATAGGTCTGTGAGTGTGGGTATTATTTCCGCTCTCGCTTTCCTCTTTTCGCTCTCGCTTTCCTCTTGACACTCTCGCTTTCATCTCCATCTTTCTATGCTTGTCTCAAGTCTTCAGCTTGAGTCCCTCCCCTGGTAGAGCGTTGACCTTGCCGTGGTCCAGGGGCTTTAGTACCCCGGAGTCCGATCCTCTGGGGGAAACTAACAGACGCTCGCAAGGTACGTTTCCTACCTCATACTCTAATGCTGATTTCCTCTCGATTCTCTCACAGGTGTGTGATTGTACGGACAGTATTCGACCCGAAACTGACAGACGCCACAGGAAATGTATTCAAATATGTGAGGCTCTTACTCTTTGACGCTAGTATCATGACTGCGCTGACTTCTTCCTCAGTTTCCTACAGCTGTGTGATTGTGTGAATGTGAGAATCGGCCTCCACCTGCCTTCAACAGCAGGGCCCTCGACACAACATCGACACCGAGGCCAACGTTCGACGTAATACATGCTCACAAGGAATATATACGGAATTGTAAGTCTCTTATCTTTCTATGCGCTCGTTGTAACTGTGCTGACTTCTTCCTCGGTTTTACTACAGCTGTGTGAATGTGTGAATATGAGAGATCGACCTCCACCTGCCTCAACAGCAGCGCCTTCGACATGATTTCGACACCGAGCTCCAATGAGCTTCAAGACCGGTCCCCTTGGCAGAGCGTCGACCTTGTCGTGGTCAAGGGGCTTAGTACCCCTTCGGAGGGAAGCCAACAGACGCTCACAAGGTACGTCTCTTTCTTTATATTATTCCACTGATTTTTTTCGGAATGTTTTTTAGGCGTGTCAGGTTGTGGAGTCTCCGTTACTTCGTCTCGTTCGCATAGATTTGTTTTACTGATCTATTTTGTTTAGTTTTTGTTAAAGGTGCGTGAGTGTGAGTGTGAGTGTGAGTGAAGGTACGTGCGGCGCTCTGCTTGCGAAAGCAGCATCGTCCTTCCCCTTGGCAGAGCGTCGACCTTGTCGTGGTCAGGGGGCTCAGTACCTCCTCGGAGGGAAGCTAACAGACGCTCGGAAGGTAGGTCTCTCCTCGTTTCATGTCGCTGATTTCCTCTAGTTTCTCTTACAGGAGGGGTGTCCGACACGAAATTCATAGGCGCATACGAGGACTATATTGATCAGTGAGTCTTCTCTTTCGATGCGCATACTAGTGACCACGCTGAATTCTTTCTCAATTTTTCTACACTTGTGTGATTGTGTGAAAGTAAGAGACTGGCGTCGACCTGCCTTCAGCAGTAGTGTCCCCAACACAACCTCGACACCGGGCCACAAGAGCTTCAAGACCGGTCCCCTGGTAGAGCGTCGACCTTGTCGTGGTCCAGGGGCTCAGTACCTCTTCGGAGGGAAGCCAACAGATGCTCGTGTGGTAGGTATGCTAACCGGTGAGTTCCTCTCCCAATCTCGTTCATATATATCTTTGACTGAAATTCTGCGCAGTTTTATTTCAGGGCGGTGCGTTGCAGTAAGCTCAAGACGATCGACGCCCTGATGTTCAACACTCGGGCCCGACGACTCCAATCAAGCACGACATCAACGGGCGGTAGTCTCTGGGGCGCCTTGGGCTGCATCTCTGCGTCTGCTGGGTCTCTAGGTGTGTTTTATCTCTTCGTCTACTGGCTGCTTCGTCTCTTTGTTTGTTTGTCCTCTTCCTTCGCTAGGTCTCTTAGGCTTGCTCTCTAGGCTGTTGGGTCTCGTGGGCTTGCGCTCTAGGTCTCTAGGTTTCTTGGTTTGGGCTGGTCTTTCTAGCGCTAGGCAACATCGACCTCACCGAGCTCAAGCACGATATCGACATCGCCCACGACCGGGCTCAAGCACGACATCAACATCGCCCACGACCGAGCCCAAGCACGACATCGACATCGCCCACGACCGGGCTCAAGCACGACTTCGACATCGCTCACGACCGGGCTCAAGCACGACATCGACACCGAGCTCCAACGAGCTTCAAGACCGGTCCCCTGGGATAGCGTCGACCTTGTCGTGGTCCAGGGGCTCTAGTACCTCAGAGTCCGATCCTCTGAGGGAAGCCAACAGACGCTACTAACAGGTAAGTGGGTCATCAGCACTTCGATCCACTTATCTTTTCTGACGTATATTGTGTAGTTTTATACTGTCTTGATCTCCGAAGCCTCGAGTTTCCCCCGAGGGAGTTTCGATCTTGTGGTTCGCTGTGGACTCTAGTACCTTGGCGTAAGGAAGCCAAGTGACGTTAACATGCTATGTACGTGTACGCTATTCGCTTTTTCCTCTCATCTATATTTTTGCTCAATCTGACACCCTTTCGAGTTTCGTAGGCAAGTTGAGTCGTCATTGACATTGACTCCGACGATACAGCTCATCAGGCTGCCAATTGTCTCGCTCTCGGCCTCTAAATATGCCTAAGGGTATTAATATCCAGTTTCCGGTGGACGGCCTTGGTATTTATGGGTCGATCCTGTTCCCAAAATGGCTGGTTCAAGCTGCGCTTGGGGCGTCTTAATATGTCTGAGGGTATCTAGATCCTGGCGAAGTAGAGGTATGCGACTCAAGGGCCTTCTGTCTATTTTGCGCGTTGGTGGTGCGATCTCGCCTGCTCTTAATCCGCTTGTCTGGTCTACCCTTCTCGCGATTGAACATTGTTGCTCTCGATCTCTTGTCATTCATCACGAAGCTCGATATCTTTCGACAGCCTGAAGATTCGGCTCTAGGGGGTCCACGACTCGCCGCCGGCCGAAGGGGGGCCAATTGATACTTGTACGTTCTCTGCTGTTTCTTTTCGTATGTAAGTATCTTCGTCACAGAGCTGACAATATTAATGCCCCGAGTTGATCCGCGGACAGGTGGATTCGTCACAACTCCTTAGTCTTGGACGTCTACATACCAAGGGCTCGGATCTCAAGATATCGATTAAGTACGACGACATGATTCAACTGGCTGGTTTCGCTCGCGGTCTTGGAATACTTATACCTGAGGGTAAATATCCGGCTCCTGGTTCACTGGCTTGGTCGTTGGGATTAAGTACTCAAGACCGAGGAGAAATTCAAGATGTATATTCGACGATTACCTCCGGCTAGTTTCGTTCGCGGTCTCGAAATATACCCAAGGGTATCAAGATCCTGGCAAATTGGCTTCGTACTTGGAATTTGCCGACACGGTTGAACTGGCTAATTTCGCTCGTGGTCTCGAAGTACACCTATGGGTATCTGGTTCACGGTGAATTAGCTCTGTACTTGGAATCCTTCAACCTTGTCACTTGGACCAGCGAGCGTCTGTATGAGGGTAGAGTGGAAAATATCTCGCCACGCCGACGGTGGATACTTCGACTGCAATGGAACCGGACGATCGGATGGTGGGCTTTGCTCATGCTGATTTATCTGGAACTTATGGCTTTACCCCCATGCGACATACCAGCCAACTCCTGGAACACTTTCCCATAGATTCTGGACATGGACGAACGCGACGGCGAGACGGGATGTGTTCTGACCACGGGCCAGAGACTTTACGTTGACTTTACGCGACTCGACGGGAGACCGTATGCATCCTTCTCCCGGCGGTCTCTTGGCTCTTCTCGTCTCGGTTGCTCGTTTGGATCTCGGGATGATAAGTATGTGCTGGATGTTTGGCGAGTCTCCGTACTGCTTCTGATTTTGAACTTGGGCTTCTCTTGCTCCTGTCTTTCTCGGCTACGCATATCGGGCTAACGGAAAGAACAGTTCGGGTGGCAGCAATGGCAAATTCTGCCCGAAGACGAAGCTCAAGCATCACTACGATGTCGGAGACAATGGACGTCATCTCGAGTGTCTCGAAATCCCGAGGACCTTTCGAACCTGCTTGGAGCGGTCCTGACGAAGAGATAGAGTTGAGCCAGAGGGAGCCTAGTGTGTCTCGTACGAGTGAGTTACTGGGAAATATTCGAGTACTTGGATGGGATACAGCGCACAATACAACCACCTTGATCACCGTTGTTTCGATGTGGCGAGCGTGTCAGTGTGGCCCCGACAGGAACGACGAGCGGAAGTGGCCGGAAGAGTTGCCGGTGCAACGGCGGGCCAGGGGCCGGACTCGCGTGGTCGAGCAACGAGCGCCAAGAACGTCCGGGGAAGTTGAAATTTAAAGATCACGCGCTCGTTCGAGTTGGGTTCCCATCTGCTGCCCTCGCTCAATTGCAAACAGCGAACTCTGTTCCTGTCCAGGACGCGTCTCGTCGTGGACCTTCTCGGTGCTTGCTCCCAATATACTATGGCTAAAAGTGTCTGTTCTATGCTCGGAATACGCAGGTAGGTCGTCGGAGGGACTGGAAAGGCCATACGAGGCCGTGGTGGGCCCCATGCGTGTGCAGCGCTCTCCGAAGGCGGGAAAGCGCAAAACATTTGGGAGAGGGAAGCACCCAGCGTCGCTAGGATGATCATCGCGGCGTCACAAGACGCTTTCCTCCACGGCGGCCTTATATATAGTCCCTCGGCACTCCCGCCGTGTTCTTTTCTTTCTTTTCCTTCCCTTTTCCCCTCATCCCCTTCCTCCAACCTGCTGTCATCTGTCAGTCCGCCAAACGCTTGAGTTGATCCAACGCGTTTAGGATCAGTAGCGTTTGCGTGCCACACCCACTCGTTTTCAAAGACTTTACTTTGGTCCAACCATCGGACCCCACACTCATTAGCTTTTCGCCGCCGCTCTTTACTTGCTCTCTTCGATTTCGTTTCGTTTCGTTTCGGAATCGACAACAACAACAACCATATAATAATATACCCTTGAGCTGAAACAAAAAATGCGCGCCACCTCTCTTGCAGCTTTCTTATACCCCTTCGCATTCATCGGTTCCTCCCTCGCTGCTTCCGCAGACCAGTGGAGGGGCCGCTCAATATACCAGTGCGTACTGCATCATCTCTACCCATCTGGAGTGGTGGTGTTGAAGGACGGGCGGTAGAATTATCACGGATCGCTACGCACTCCCCGCTGGCGCAGACACGAACGCATGTAACACTACCGACCAGACGTGGTGCGGTGGCACCTGGAACACTATTCGCGAGAACTTGGATTATGTCCAGAATATGGGATTCACCGCCAGTGCGTTTTCGTTTCGTTTTTCCGTTCACATTGGCATTTGGTCTTCGAGTTTTGTCTTGTTATTTCCCGAACACCTTCACTTCATCATGTTTCACCCCATGTGCGCTACCTCTATTTCTGCCGCCGGACGTCCTTCTCCTTCGTGTACCATCTATACATACCGGTGATGATGGTCACGCCGGATCCCTTTTCTGTTCCATGCCGTACTTCCTTTCACCCACCCACCCATTCACTCGCCTATATCTGCGTGTCCACATGGCTGATATGTGCTCCCTGATGTTTCCCTGATATCCACTCCTTGATATTTACCTTCGTTTCGCGTACCTTCATGTTCACCCATCGCTCATCGCTGACATGACATGAACATGTAACCCCAACCATAGTCTGGATCAGCCCCACATCGCAGAACTACGACGGGCCGCGGACGACGTATGGGGATGCTTACCACGGTGCGTTTCCCTTTTCCTTGCCTTTCCTTTCATGCCCTTCCTGCGTTCTTGCCAGCACCACAAAATCGTCGAAATTGGATGGTCTTCCTACAACTAAAACCGAAACTAAAACTGATTCTGATATGTCGGATCTGGACGTGGACGGGTAACAAAAAATAGGTTATTGGATCGCGGACGCGAGCCAGTTGAACGACCGTTTCGGGACGTCGGACGATCTGAAGGCTCTTTCGGCGGAGTTGCATAGCAGGGGGATGTACGTTCTTTCTCCCACTCATATTCCCTCCACTTCGACGTCTCGGATACTGACTCCTCATTTTATGTTCTTGTTGCTGTTTTCTTGATGTGGTTGGTGACGGATCGTTGGCCGGTTGGTTGTGATGGATCTATGGTGGAAATGGTCGGTGCTTGGCGACGCTAAGGTACCTCATGGTCGACATCGTAGCGAACAACGTCATGGCAACATCCACAACACCCGACTACTCCCAGTTCATGTTCAAAGATGAGGCGCAGTATCACAGTTATTGTCCGATCGATTGGAATAATGAGACGTCGATCGAGAATTGTTGGCTTGGTATGTCTCAATGATGCACCTAAATCCTATGCCCCTCCTTGCTGGCTGCCCCCGTCCCGTGCACCTACTGGCTTTTAAAACGGAACAACGGAACCCCTTCACTGATCCACCTTTCTTTTTCTCTGTCGGGGCTGGATGTGTGGTGTACAGGCGACACGAACGTCCCCCTGCCCGACGTGAACACCCAAGACCCGGACGTCGTCAGTGGGTACGCGAGCTGGATACAGAGTTTCGTGCAGGAATATGAGGTGGATGGGTTGAGGATTGATGGTTAGTCCTACCCACCTGCCTCCTTCCCTCCCTCTCACCTGTTGTCCGTTAAATTCGGGTCCATGTAACTTATAATTTATAACCTTGTTCTTTGTGTGTGATGGGATGGAATGGGATGTGTAGCCGCGAAGTAAGTCTTTACTCTTTACCAAGATTTTGAGGACAGGAGAGGAGAAGAGACGATACTGATGATCGGTTGGGTTTGTGTGGATAGACACGTGCATTATGATTTCTGGACTTCGTTCTGTGGGTCTGCGGGCGTGTTTTGTATGGGCGAGGTGTTCGGGGATGATATAGGGTATGTCACTGTCGCACCTTCACATTCCCTCTCCGACCTCCACCTCAGACCTCCACCTCACCTCACCCCACTTCATCCTCTACCCATTTCATCTCACCTTCCCCCACTCAACAACCACCAACCAAACAGCCTCGCAGCAACCTACCAATCCTCGATGGACTCCGTGCTCAACTATCCGATGTACGACGCGCTCGTGGAAGGATTCGCGATTCCCGGACCGGGGAATATGACGGCCGTGACGGAGACGTTGGTGGCGTTGCAGGGGCAGATGAAGGTCTGTCTCTTTCCCCCCCCTCTCTTTCAATGTTTCTGTGTGGTTCTGTGTTTTTGGTTTTCTGTGTTTCTTTCCCTTGGGCTTGCGTTGTCATGCGTGTGGTCGTGGTTCAAGGAAATTTCGCTGATTATTTTCCTGTGGCGTGATTCGTGTGGCGTGGCGTACTTTCTGTGGTGTGCGTGGTTTATGTGGAATATACAGGACGCGACAGTGCTAGGCAATTTCCTCGAGAACCAGGATGTGGAGCGATGGGCGAGCATGTCGAGTGATCCCGTCTCGTTGCATAATGCTATGGTGTTCAATTTCATGTCTGACGGGTACGTCCTTCCCTAAATCCCCCAAACTACAAATTAGCACACTGCATTCGCATTTCCTCGACACTACCTTCCATCGTGCATGTGACTGACTGGAATTTTGCATGGGGCTGACTGGACTTTACGTGGTACTGCAGAATTCCGATCATGTATTACGGCCAGGAACAGGGCTTGACGGGCAGTGGCGATCCTGTGCGTTTCTTTCCGCCATCTGCATCTTATTAAACGAAGAACGAGATGACTGACCGACTGTATTGATGGCTTCGACTGACCTTTGATTGTATTGCTGGTCCTTACAAACGTGTTTGAAACTTGGTGGGACTTACCGACTGTGCTGAAAATTGAAAATGTGTGCGATTTGGACAGTACAACCGTGGCCCGCTCTGGACTTCTGGCTATGCGATGACGGAGACGTATAACCTCACCGCGACTGTCAATATGGTGCGTTTTTTGTCCCTTCCCTCCCCTTCCTTTCCCTCTTCCCCTTCGCCCCTCCTGTGCATATCATAGTATCTAACGCCTTGTGGTTGATGTTGTCTACAGATCCGCAACTACCTCACCAACCAGACCGACTGGGCGAAGACGCCGGCACAGGTACTCACCACCGAGCCGGACGGGATCGCGATCATGAAAGGGGAGGTGTTGAGTATTTTGACGAATATCGGGTCGCCTGTGAGTCTTCCTCTTTCCCTTTTTGTGGTGGTATGAGGTGACTTTTGTGCGGTGGTGCTGATGGACGTGATGTGATTGTTGTGATGTTTAGCCTCAGAACGATAGCGTCAAGGCGTACACATCCTGGGAGGAGAGTTTTTCCACGACAGAGTACGTCCCTTCTTTCCTCCCTTCCCATCGGCGTTTTCACTCATGCCCCTCTCTCTCGCACTCGTCACGACTCACAGCGTCCTCTCCTGCACGCAATACGCCGTCGGCTCGAACGGGACCGTCCAAGTGAACTACAACAAGGGCGGAAAACCCGTCATCCTCGTCCCGGACGAGATCGTGAACAAGGCGGGGATGTGCGGGTCGTTGATCGCGAGCACGAGGACGGGGAGTTCGGAGGCGGGGACGAGTGGGGCTGGGCGGAGGGTCTCGCTGGCCGGTGTAGGATGGGGAGGATGGGGTGTGGTGGTGGGATTGGGGATGATGGGGGTTGTGAGTGGGTTGTTGTGATTAGTTCCAGTGATGGGTTGATGGTTTGGTGAGTAGGCCCTAAGGTCGGTTTTAATGGTGTCGTCAGCCGGTTTGTTCGTTCGTGGTGGTCATGTTGTCTCTGGTGCATACTCTCCTTTCCCCCCGCTCCGTCCTTTCTCTGCGCTCCCTCATTCCTCCATGTCCTCCCCGCTTTCCAGACATCTACTCTACGCTCTTTGTTCCATCTCATCCATACCACGTTGTCGCTGTTGCTGTTCAAACATTCACTGTTTGTTGTCTGTCTGCCTGTTCATCTGTCTGTCTATCTGTCCTTGATCTGTCCGTGGATTTTGTTTGTTGTGTATCGTTTTGCGTTGGCGTTGGCGTTTTGTTTGTTTGGTCTCTTGGTCCCGTTTTCTTAAATAGGTGTTCGTGATAGTTTCTCTTTGGTTCGTTTCGGTTAGTCTTTTTGGATTCGCAGTGGAGATGGGACGGCCCGGGGTTGATGCCAGTGGAATCCCTTTTCAATTTCGGCTGGGTACCTGGTCCCTTAGGAGCAGGTTTTGACATGATGCCGAAAACCGAGGTTTCGCTCAATTTGGTAGCTGTTACCTTCCCTATTTAGTTAGTCTCTTTTTAGTCGCGTGCGTTCACGGTCCGGTTCAAGCGGGTCACCCACGCCACTCTTCAAGCGCATTGCTTTCAGATTCTAAACTGGGGGAGCGCTACCTTCGGCAGCAGCCACCTTGCTTGATAAATAACTTGCACAAGCACTTCTGGTCTGCTCTATACCGCATGTTCTTGAACGGGATTGGGAGTGCTTACGCCGTGCCCGGCGGGCCCAGTCACTGTCAACATTCTGTGATCCAGTCAAGTTGACTCGAGATTCCTCCAAGGCAAAGCAGAGTCGGATGAACCCAAATGTCAGCGGCGAACGGTATGGGCCATCATTGCATCTGACGGCAAGTTATCCGTCTAGCGCGAGACTAATTCGTCAACATCAACGTCTGCATTTGAATCGCTGCAGTCACGTCTGAAGGTAGCGGTCAGACCCTCTGCGACGCCACACACTGGTGCCACATAATAAGTCCGCTGTTTGTCCTTGTTTATTTCCGGGACGATTCTGAGCAATTACGGGGGTAGGAAGGACCTTCAAGCAAGGTAACCTAGCACTGCTTCAAACCTCTCCCTCAACTTGCTCTCAGTCTCATTTGCATATGCACCTGATCTTCTAAAGGCTTTCTAGTATCAGCCAATATCTCCAAGTAGGTTCGGCTTGGCGGAGTTTCAACCAAACTATGTGTACGGTACTAAGTTTGAAGTAGTTTGCCTCACTGGCATGATCATAGAAATCTGAGAAAACCAAAACTTATAACCATTCGGAGCTGAACAGTTGCTCTGGTATCTTCAATACTCAGTCAATCGACAAGTCAGACAAACTACATACTGTCCGGAGTGAGGATAAGTAGACCCGCAATGCGTAATCCGATTTTCAGTGGCGGGGTGGCGTAAGTATGAATCATGATATTGCCTCTTCTTCAAGTGTTCCATCGATTTTGTCCATTCTGGCTATTGTTACCACCATCATCTTCGGCTGTCTTTCACGCTAACAACTTACTACTGTGAATATGCCGATCTTAATACCATCTAACATCTTCAGCTTGGACCTTTACACGGATACTATTCGCTAATGCGCCCCTCAAAGATGATCAATCCGATTCCTCAGAGTCGACGCCCTGTACTCGAGCTCATTCCATGATCACTAGCTGGGTAGAGTGAGTACGACATGCTATCAATGTTATCGGAATGAGCGATACAAATGACAGATGTTTGATTTCTTTCTCTCTTGACCCCGTGTATCGTCTCGTCACAGAGTCGCGTAAGACTCGGTCGCTGCCAGCAATCAACTACCAATGTTCTAGTAAGTGCTCTCGTGTATTACTCTATCTAAGCTTTGGAGCGAACCCGTATGTCTGTGGATCCTCTCCAAGCCATCCATATACTACTGATTTTCCGTCAAGGTTTCTCTGCCCATATACCTGTAGGTTATTCTATGACTACACTTTTCTCTGCTTTGTGGCACTCGAAGCCCCTGTTACACCTACTGTACCATTTCGAACGGATCGCCGGTAACGTGTAACGGCGAGGGTCCGGCGGGGCGTATGTGGGAGGTTGTAACGGTAACGATTGCCCAGCGGCGGTAACTTTTTATGTTTCGGAAAATGCAATTTTGAGGCCGACAAAACACGAAAAAATTCGGCTAAATACTGTTTGGCAAGTAAAACACCAAAATACAGAAGGTCAGAATGTATCTTGATGGGGAGGTCGATATCCAAAGTTCACAATAAGCTCAAGTGCCCCAGCGGGCGCCACAGCTTCGAAGCCTGTGGCGTGTGTAAAACCGGGAACGTGTGAACCAAACAAACAGGATGTGAACACGACGCGAGTGCTCAATAATCCTTCCACCACCTCAACGCGCACTCATTGTACTTTTTACTCTTCGTGATAACCCTCTTCCCTTTCCCTCGAGACTCGAACACAGAAGGCCCTACACCTCCGTCGGACTCGTCGGATCCATCCATGCCTGAAGCTCCGCGTTTGGATGTCGATCCTTCCACTGGCGCCTCATTTGACTCGGCCTCGACATCAACAGCAAGCTCCCCGGAGGCTGAGAGTTTGACGGATACTGGCGATTTGGATCCGGAGATGAGCGATGTTACGGCGGTCAATGGCACGTTGCTGTCATCTTCGAATGTCGCATCAAGGTCGGGGTCGTTCTCTAGGTCCTCATCAAACTCCTCTCCTTCGGCAGTCGGAATGTTGTTGTCCTCGTATGCTACACTAGTGAGTTCAGCATAAAACTGAGGGTCCGATGCTTTCAAGTTGTTGAGCCTGACACGTGTTGTTCGAGGATCCGTCAGACTCTCATATGAGAGGTTGAAATCTCCTGTTCGACACATCTCGAAGGCCTGGATGATTGTTCAGTGGTGCGTCTTCCGAATCATTGCAAAATACATCAATTACATACCTTTTGCACAGTTTCCTTGTTATTCAGGTTTTCGTACGCCGTCCAGAGCCACCCAACACTACGGTCGCGAAGAACGGCGATAGTTTTGTCAACATGAATCGTTGTCGCCCCACTGTCAAGTTGTGCGAGGATGGAATCAACGACGTCGGCATGATACGACTTCTTGCACGAGAGCTTGAAGATTCGTTGCATTCCGACGTCGCAGGGCTGAAAGACACCGGTACATCCGCCAGGAACGAAGAGAACGATGATGGTCGGGTGGGTATTCTTCATCCAGTTTCGAAATTCCTCAGAACGATGCACTGACCACACGTCGATGAGCCAGATCGATTTCTGGGTATCCGGAAGCCCGAGCTCCTTCTTCCTGCGCTCGAAGTACGGTGCAATGATGTCGTCGACAAAGGACCGCATGGTACGTTGATTCGACCAGTACGTTTTCGTTTTCGAAGGTTCGAAGCGGAAACCGGCTTTGGTGGCATCTTCGAAGTGAGGCGCTGATTTCTCAGGGCAGACTTTCGTTGTCTGTCCGGTGTAGATGGACTGGAACGGAAGCATCTCTCCATCGTTGGAGAGCGACACGACGACAGTGAACGCGCGTTTCTCGTCCTCGCCAATCGTCTTGACCTGTGAAGATCCCGTTTTCGTCCAGGTAAGTTTTGCTCCCTGCGCATAGACCAGCTGGGTTTGGTCGCTGTTAACGATAAGCGCTGACGGCACGTCTTCTTCTTTGATCGTCCATGCCATACGTAGGAACGCCTTCTCGCACTTGTCCTCCCAGTCCTCAGGAAGTTTTTGAGCGGCTTGCGTTGCTCGTCGTTCGGACCATCCTAGGTTTGCGTGGAGGAATTGACGAAGGAAGGAATCAGAGCACCGGAACTTGGAGCCATCCGTGAAGTACTCGTCGAAGATTTCTGGTCGCATATTTTGAATGGTCGCCACAACGATTCCGCGCACGGTGACAAGGGATATAGGAACAGACAGATCCCGAAGACCATTGAGGCGCTCTTCGATAACTGCCAGAACATCTGGATGTATTTTCTGTAGGTTCTTTGTCAACAGACTTTATGAGATGTTCAAGTGATCATAACACTCACGAAGATTCCTAGCTTCCCGCCTTTGTTCAGTACCGACTGGTGGTCTCCTGCAACAGCCATCGCTTTGGCCGAATCCGTCCAACACGGATTGAACTTGTCCGTCTTGTCAATCCAATCCCGAATAGTCTCGCGGGCGATATCTCCAAATATCTCGGGGTCACGGCGAGCCAGCCACTTTGCCATCGCGGTTGGATTCCACCCTTCCGCACGCTGAGCCGCTTCGATTTGTCGCCACACAAATGGCCCATGCCAATTTGTACGCACAGCCTCCCCATGCTCCACCGTACGTTTACGGCCCTGTGGCTTCCGCGTCTTCGCTCTCAATAACGCATTCGCCTTTCGATCAGGACGAGTGAGCTCGGCAACAGAGGGTTTGCCTCGCTTAGATGGCGGAGGCTGCAGGTCATTCACGGTGCGTTCCTGCTCAATGTTATATTAAGTGACGGTCATTTCGCCGAAAAGAGATCACTTACCGAAGCTTTTCGCTTCTTACCAGTTAGATCACGGGCACCGGAAGCGATCTCCTCGTCCTTCTTCCTTGCGCGGAATTTTCGAACACGTTCCAACACCGAAACCTTTCCTTTCGCCTTCAACTCTGCTTTGTAACGGTCATCCCTCTCTTGTAGCTTCTCCCTCTGCGTCATGACCTCTTCGCTGATCCTCGCCGACTGCTCCTCCTTCTCCTCCGCCGTCAACTTCTTCTGGAAAAATGCCAACACGCTGCCCTTTGTGGCACCCTTGGCAAGCTTCTCAAAGCCGCGTCTGATTGACGAATCACCCTTCAGTCGGGCTCGTTTTGACGTTGTCGCCACTGGACTGTCCTCGCCGTCGGAGTTTGGTCGTTTAGGATGGTTAGGGGCTTCCATTAATGGTGCAGCTGTTGTCGAGGCTCGTTTGGAGGAAGTGGCAGCGGCAGGATTGTTGGGATTGTTGGAAGGTGATGGGTAGCGTGGAGTAGTGACGGAAACACGCATGGGAAGGCTCTCCTCAGAGGAAGCGATGACGGATGCTGCAGGAGACTTTCGAGGTAGCAATGTAGTAAAGTTAGATGCTTTATGGTTGGGCGATGATGGCGGTGTGGGAGCGCGAGGACAAGGGCGATCAAATGATGAAGTAGAAGGGTGTGGCGTGTGGCGAGGCGATGGTGGAGTGCTAGGGTTGCGTTCGCTGTCAGAGAGAATCCGTGAGACCGAGCGCTTGAAGCGCTCCTTCGCCTTTGCCATGAGCGACTTCGGCCTTCCTGGCTGTTCACTCTCATTTCCTGATAGGTGACTGCTCGGTGAGGAGTGACGAGATGTGATGGCATCCGACGACAGATCATTGAATGCTCCTGGTGATGTGGGTGGAAAGGCGGGCAGGGACGATTGGGAGCTGTCTGGGTAGGATGGCTTGTCGAGGGCCTCTGAAGACAGGTCTATGGGTATATCCTGTGCGGGGAGAAGTACCGGAAGGGAGGTCGGAGAGTCAGTCGATGGATCGGCTGTGTCCTCGACGAACTCGATGCTCGAGTTGGACCTCGTTGTGGACGCTCTGCGTGGTTTGGGCTTGTTGGACTCGACCCTGAAATGGGCTTTGATGGGAGAGGAGAAGGTGAATTGGTACGACTGGGCTGTGGCGTCAAAGGTCTGTTGTCCATTCTTGAGGTCAATACAACTGTACTGAGTATAACAGGAGTTTTGCATACCTGATCGTGGTGGCGCTCAAGGACACGGAGGAACATCCTCAATCGTTCCTCCTCCAGCCGTCTTACATCAACAAGAGGGTGAGTCTCGGGTAAACAGTGGTGTGCAAGAGCGTTACTCGCTAGCATGCCACAGTTGTGATTGTCATTTACAGCCTGCGGCGAGGTCTTGAGGACTCCCTGCTGGAACTGCACCCCGGTGTGATACGTCGTCCACCAGTCCACAACCTTCACCACCTCGTCGTTCGGGGCCCAACCCTTTGGATCACCATAAAGAAATTGTGAGTGCTCGAAGTCAATCACCATTGCTACCCAATGATTCTCATTGACATTCAAGATCAGCCCGACGGCCTTCGCTTTCCCATCCGCCAGTGCCTGTCCCGCCCCCCGAACCCAGTCCCACTCCTTTTCCGCCCTGTACATCCCATCATCTTGCCGCCTAAATGCCGCCTTCATCTTCTCGAAAAATCCAAGTGTCTCCACCATGATCCCGGACATTCGACTGAGACGAATATCTCGGCGTAGAAGATCGATAGATTGGTGCTGGTGAACATCTGAGAACCAGGCCTTCGGGGATAGATATGTGGTGAGTTTGTGTAATGGTTCGATATTACTGAATCCCCGTATATTTTCGGACCATGGGAGGATGTCTAGCGCGTCGTACACATCCTGGATCAAACCATGGTCCGGCTGAATCTGACCTTGTGCTTTCCTCTTCTGCCAGATCTTATCGCGTTCCCGCAGGCTCCCATCAGCCTTGCTCCACGGCTCCCTGATGGCTCGAAGCGACACAATCTCACTCCAGTAGACCAATACCCAGAACGGGAGGTAACGAGGGACCGTGGACGTGAGATGCGCGCACACGATGGACCTGAATCCTGCTCGTATCATGGCCTTACACGCTGCAGAGATGTCCCCGACAATTGAAGCAGGTGGTATCGGGATCTTGCGTAAGTTCTCGACAGAATCGTAGTTCACAGGCTCCCGACTGAAGAAGTCCGGGATCGAGAGTGTGGCACCCGTCGCGTGAGTGATGATGGGGAAGGAAAATTTCAGGAATGAAAGGAGCGAGGCATGGCGGGGAGGTAGCAAGGTGTCCTTTGCGTCGTTCGGCATTTCTATGAGAGGAGTTTTGTCTGCCATGGAGAGGAATGGGAGGATGCGTTGAGAGTGCTGAGCGTAAGAAGGGATGGCTGCCGTCGCCGCGAGTGACGGCCGGCTGTCTCACGTTGCCGGTCACAGCGGATGATTTCAAAAATTCTGCAAACTACTTCATAAATTATAGAAAGTGTAGGCTTGCTTCAAATTTGTTACAAGCTACAAATTTGTACCGTAGATAGGTTAGATAGGTAGCACCAAAACCTGCGAGAACAAGTAACAAAAGGTGGCGGTATCGGGGCCTTGTAACGGTAACTTTCGGAAGTGGCGGCGGCGAAAACCGGCAAAATCGGTAACGGTAACATGGGGGTGGCGATCCGATCGAAATGGTACAGTACCTCTCATTTTGATTATTTCGTCACCATTTACATTGTATCACCACTCCTACACTCAAGTCTCAATGAAGGACATACTTCATTCGCGCTGTTCCACCGCTAGGCCAGACTTGGTTGAGGGAGGAAGCGGCGAGGGGTGGACAAGCAAGAATGCTCGTGCCCGCCCCAAACTCGCATGTCACGCCCGTTTCGTCAACCACGTCGATGGAGTACACGGTCTGTCTTCAAACTATGTCTGCCCCGCCTTTCAACTTCGATTTCCTTGACGTTCAGTCATACTCTCCCA